GCCTAAAGTGCCTGGGAGCCTTTAAAGTGAAAGCTGCTGACTGTCATTGCATGTGGTGCTCGGAAAACACTCCAGCGGCAACACTCGCAAGTCAAAGCAGCTGACTGTGATTGCATGTGGTGCGCGGCAAACACTCTAGGCATGCATGCAACACTCCACGGGTAAATGCAAAACTAGCGGCTTGTCTTCGAAGAGCCGCGGCGGCCGTCGGCAGGTGTTCAAAACCTCAGTGGAACTGACTGAAACCTGGGAGCCTAAAGTGCCTGGGAGCCTAAAGCCTAAAGTGAAAGCTGCTGACTGTCATTGCATGTGGTGCTCGGCAAACACTCCAGCGGCAACACTCGCAAGTCAAAGCAGCTGACTGTGATTGCATGTGGTGCACGGCAAACACTCTGGGCATGCATGCAACACTCCATGGGTAAATGCAAAACTGGCGGCTTGTCTTCGCAGAGCCGCGGCGGCCGTCGGCAGGCGTTCAAAACCTCAGTGGAACTGACTGAAACCTGGGAGCCTAAAGTGCCTGGGAGCCTAAAGTGCCTGGGAGTCACCGTGACAGGAATCGCAAGTCAAAGCAGCTGACTGTCATTGCATGTGGTGCTCGGCAAACACTCCAGCGGCAACACTCGCAAGTCAAAGCAGCTGACTGTCATTGCATGTGGTGCTGGGCAAACACTCCAGGGGCAACACTCCACGGGTGCATGCAAAACTGGTGGCTTGTCTTCGAAGAGCCGCGGCGGCCGTCGGCAGGTGTTCAAAACCTCAGTGGAACTGACTGAAACCTGGGAGAGCCTAAAGTGCCTGGGAGCCTAAAGTGAAAGCAGCTGACTGTCATTGCATGTGGTGCTCGGCAAACACTCCAGTGGCAACACTCGCAAGTCAAAGCAGCTGACTGTGATTGCATGTGGTGCACGGCAAACACTCTAGGCATGCATGCAACACTCCACGGGTAAATGCAAAACTGGCGGCTTGTCTTCGAAGAGCCGCGGCGGCCGTCGGAGGAAACCTCAGTGGAACTGAGTGAAACCTGGGAGCCTAAAGTGCCTGGGAGCCTAAAGTGAGCCTAAGCTGCTGACTGTCATTGCATGTGGTGCTCGACAAACGCTCCAGTGGCAACACTCGCAAGTCAAAGCAGCTGACTGTGATTGCATGTGGTGCACGGCAAACACTCTAGGCATGCATGCAACACTCCACGGGTGCATGCAAAACTGGCGGCTTGTCTTCAAACTTCGAAGAGCCGCGGCGGCCGTCGGCAGGTGTTCAAAACCTCAGTGGGGCTGACTGAAACCTGGGAGCCTAAAGTGCCTGGGAGCCTAAAGTGAAAGCAGCTGACTGTCATTGCATGTGGTGCTCGACAAACACTCCAGTGGCAACACTCGCAAGTCAAAGCAGCTGACTGTGATTGCATGTGGTGCACGGCAAACACTCTAGGCATGCATGCAACACTCCACGGGTAAATGCAAAACTAGCGGCTTGTCTTCGAAGAGCCGCGGCGGCCGTCGGCAGGTGTTCAAACCTCAGTGGAACTGACTGAAACCTGGGAGCCTAAAGTGCCTGGGAGCCTAAAGTGAAAGCAGCTGACTGTCATTGCATGTGGTGCTCGGCAAACACTCCAGTGGCAACACTCGCAAGTCAAAGCAGCTGACTGTGATTGCATGTGGTGCACGGCAAACACTCTAGGCATGCATGCAACACTCCACGGGTAAATGCAAAACTGGCGGCTTGTCTTCGAAGAGCCGCGGCGGCCTTCGGCAGGAAACCTCGGTGGAACTGAGTGAAACCTGGGAGCCTAAAGTGCCTGGGAGCCTAAAGTGAAAGCAGCTGACTGTCATTGCATGTGGTGCTCGACAAACGCTCCAGTGGCAACACTCGCAAGTCAAAGCAGCTGACTGTGATTGCATGTGGTGCACGGCAAACACTCTAGGCATGCATGCAACACTCCACGGGTGCATGCAAAACTGGCGGCTCGTCTTCAAACTTCGAAGAGCCGCGGCGGCCGTCGGCAGGTGTTCAAAACCTCAGTGGAACTGACTGAAACCTGGGAGCCTAAAGTGCCTGGGAGCCTAAAGTGCCTGAAAGCAGCTGACTGTCATTGCATGTGGTGCTCGACAAACACTCCAGTGGCAACACTCGCAAGTCAAAGCAGCTGACTGTGATTGCATGTGGTGCACGGCAAACACTCTAGGCATGCATGCAACACTCCACGGGTAAATGCAAAACTAGCGGCTTGTCTTCGAAGAGCCGCGGCGGCCGTCGGCAGGTGTTCAAACCTCAGTGGAACTGACTGAAACCTGGGAGCCTAAAGTGCCTGGGAGCCTAAAGTGAAAGCAGCTGACTGTCATTGCATGTGGTGCTCTGCAAACACTCCAGTGGCAACACTCGCAAGTCAAAGCAGCTGACTCTGATTGCATGTGGTGCACGGCAAACACTCAAGGCATGCATGCAACACTCCACGGGTAAATGCAAAACTGGCGGCTTGTCTTCGAAGAGCCGCGGCGGCCGTCGGCAGGAAACCTCAGTGGAACTGACGTGACAGGAATCGCAAGTCAAAGCAGCTGACTGTCATTGCATGTCATGCTATAACATGATTTTTGCTCTCGTCCTGCCCCCCCCCCCCCCTGAGGCTGCGGCTGCGGCTGCGGCCACAGCCGAAGAGTGATCACGACGAAGTCCATGAAGACATGGCGGCACGGGTTAGGGGTGGGCCTTGAGCCTGGCAGCCTGGGAGCCTTGGAGCCACCACCTACTGTAGTCTGACTGACTGAGCCTGGACCTGCATGCTGGGGTCTGACCGAGCCTGGTGCATTGTTCTGGGTCTGTGCATGCATGCTGGGGTCTGACCCAGCCTGGTGCATTGTTCTGGGTCTGACCGAGCCTCGTGCATTGGTCTGTGCATGCATGCTGGGGTCTGACCGAGCCTGGTGCATTGTTCTGGGTCTGTGCATGCATGCTGGGGTCTGACCCAGCCTGGTGCATTGTTCTGGGTCTGACCGAGCCTCGTGCATTGGTCTGTGCATGCATGCTGGGGTCTGACCGAGCCTGGTGCATTGTTCTGGGTCTGTGCATGCACGCTGGGGCCTCGGTCGGGGATGCACGGGCATCCCTCACCCCCGCAAGATGTCAGTGGTGGGACCACAGACATCTTGCGGGGGTGATGGATGTCTCTATCCATGCACGCTGGGGCCTCGGTCGGGGTTCATGCACGCACATCCTTCACCCCTGCAAGATGTCGGTGGTGGGACCACAGACATCTTGCAGGGGTGAGGGATGTCCGTGCATCCCCCGACAGGCATCAACTCCAACCAGGTGTTTCCACTGGAAACACCTGGTTGGATTGATGCCTGGTCTGACCCCTCGAGCCTGAAGGCTGCAGTTGGTTGTATGCAATGAACCCCACAAAACACCAAAAAATTAAAAATCCCCGAAACGGCCACCAAGATTCTTTCATGAACTGCAGGCTGCCTCGGCTTCATTCAGTAAACCATTCTCTCCAAAAGCCACATGTCGGCCCTTTCGTTGGTTGTGTCCGAACCTGCCCCTGTGGCGAGAGTGGTATCTTTTGTCTCTTCGCGAAAGCACATCTTCTTCTTCTACTTCAATCCGGCCTTTTGGACCGAAGAAGATCGCGATCAACTTGAGCTTGATGATTCTTCTTCTGAATCAGATGAGCCTTATCCGGACAGTGCGGCTCGTGTCATTTCTGACCGCATTCGTCAACGTTTTCGCTCTGTGCTACCTGCTGATACTTCACTCGCGCTCGGTAGCCTCAACTATGGTTCCATTCGCGAACATTTTGTACAAAGGGAGTGCCCAGCACAGCCACCTGGTTGGCCCAATGTACTTTATGTACCTGTAATGTACAACTCGGTACCAATGCAACAGGCCACCTTTTATGGTGCGGTAAACCGAGTCTTCCTTCGTTCTGTTCTTTATCTCTATGAAGGGACACTGTACATTGCTTTTAGGCAATTGCTGCTGCAATCTCAGCAGAAAGCCATCTTTTTCGATTGGCTCTGTACCGGTCGCGAAGATCGTTTTCGCGTGAGCTCTACTCTTATCGCAGATTTGAGAGTGTTCCGCGTCATTTCACCTCTGGCTGATATGCCATAATCATCTTGTTGCAGCGAAGCTAAAAAATGTTTGCTGCTTTCGGCTTTTTTCAATATCTTTATCTGCGATCCAGTGTTTTAAGTCCTGGCTCTCAGAGAAATTCGCCATGGCTGATCGCAGTGGATCTCGTTCTCCAACCATTTCATGGCGATACTACTGGACCAATTCCATTGCAGCTGACGGCTCTTCTTTTTGGTGGGAGAATTGGTTTCCAGCTACACAAAACTGGATCAAAAATCGCCTCGCTGCAGATGCCCGGGGCATGCAAAGCCCCAATAGTTCTCCGACGTCTTTTACGTCTGAGACAAAGATTGAACCGGCAGCATCCAGTCCAGCTCGGAAGCGAAAACGAGATGTTTCTCCCTGAGAACCAGTTTTAATTTTAATTCATGCATGTTGCCAACACGTTGGCCAGTTGAGAGCGACTTTTGTACAGTGTTTTTTGCCACAACTCCTTCGCTACTCCTCACAGAGGAGTAGCTGTGTGTGTGAATCCCTGATAGCAAAGGGCTTCTTTTGAGCAAAAGCAGGGGGACGTGGCATGAGATCAGGGACCACGTCCAACGAAGCTACCTGATCTCATGGGAAGCAGAGCTTGGCCAGCTCTGTGTACCTGCAGTAAAGTGCTAGCGAATGCATTGGAATGGCACTGGGGCCAAGCCACAAACCCCATGTGAGTGCAGATTCGCTTAAGTTACTGGTAAGTGCTGTAAACCTAGCTACTCCCACCATGGAGTTTGCAAGTGTGTGTGTGTGTGCGGGTACAAGTAGTTAGTTACTCATGAAGCCAAGGATTGCTGCCGGTTCGAGAGTCTGTAGGAACAATGCCGGGCCCGAAATCATTTCTGCAATCGTGGGGGGGAGGGGCGGAGGATTTGGCGTGTGGTCGTTGCCTCCGTTGCCACCAATCCTATGGCGACGAAGTCGGTCGATGGTGGAATCGGCCTGACTGAAAAGGCGACCCACTGCAAACCCCTGTTCTCCGTTGGCCTCCAAAGGTAGAGCTGGTTTTCGCCCGCAACTTGAGACCATGCCTTCGGCAGAAGCCAATGCATAGAAGTGTTGAACAATGCAAGCATGCTGCCGCATGACTGCACAGCCTTCCGGTATCTCACCTCAGGATAAAGTGGAAGGGTCGCACACTTGTGTCGCTTCAGCACCTGAAAATCTGCATGCGCTGGTCATACCGAGGCTGACAAGACACTGGATGGGGTAGAACTGCTTGAAGAAACGCTTCCAAGCCGGAATAGTCCTTGGACAAAAGCTCGGCGCAACGGAACCTCTGCGCGATGCCCTGGGTTTTGGGCCCCTGAGTGAAACCAGCCACTCTCTTCTTGATCAAAAACCTCCAGCATACCAACCTTAGGACTCGAAATGTTGGTGCCGCAGTGCTTGTCAGTTCCGCTTTGTCACATGGCCTAAGCAGCGCAGTTGGTGCACAAGTGTCTGCACTTATGATTTTGGAGAATGCGAACAGAAAGAAGCAGGCGTCCACCTGGAATCATTGGACTTATTGCGGACAAAGTGTGCGCAAAGCATCGCAAAGCACCGCATGATACTACATGCACTACGTAGTGCCGAGGAAGCGTTCGGTGCCGCGATGTCGAGCCGCCGTGTCTAGCATGCATGAATCCAAAGTCCCCAACATGTGCTGGCTTCTTGGTGCCGGCGACAGCGACATCACCAAAACCTCAGAATATGCTGAATGCTTATCTTACCGGTCAATGCTCCCCATTCTTGCCAGTGAGGGTGGCACAAAGTCGTTGTTTCACTTGCGGGCCTCGTGCAACAGCGGTAACTTGTAAAAGCGCAGCTCGACCCACCAATGACAAACGGCAAGTTTTCGGGGGCGGCACCTCGAATGTCGGGGTTCTGTCAAGGATCGTCTTGGCATGATGCCGTCATTCATACATCGCTGTTAAGGTGTGATGCTTCAAAACATCCCTCCAATACCCCAGTCCTTGGAGCGAAGTTTCGTTGGCTTCCATATTGACAACTTCCTCTCTGCCAGAGTGCCTGAGCCACCACAAGCTGTCTTGCGAATGGGGCCTTCGAAACAGAATGCCGGGAGTCGGGCCTTGCGTGTTCCAGACTTCACCCTCAAGTGTGGTCGCTCTTCGCAAGCTTCTGCGCGATCTGAATCAACAGGCTTTGGATATGCTAAGTCCCTGGCGAAGTCTCCATGAGACCTCTGGATCAGTGCACAGCGAATCATCCGGGCAATGCCAAACAGTGTTGCCAGCACGGGCGATCTCTGAAGGGATCCGGCTGCCACTTGAAGCGGAAGCGGCCACTGGGCAGCCACCTGGTGTCCTAGGGTTTCAGTGCTGTTGAATCCATCTGCCACGGATCTTCTGCATTCCGCCGCTGGGTGCAGCACCCTCTGACTCAGCTTGGCGGGCTCCTTACCTTTCTTATGATTTTCCATGAATTTCGCCGCCTTCCCGACAGAACCAACACGAGCAGGCCTGCTGGCTGTAGGACTGTCGGCATTGGGGGTCGGGACGAGAGTGGTAAGTCCATCCTGACCCAAACTTGGCTTCCAGACTCTCCCCGACTCCGCCGCACTGAGTTCGCCCACCCTGGTCGCATGACAGACCTCGGCTCTCGTCAGAAAGGGAATCCGATCCGGAAATCGTTCGATTCGCAAAGGCTCCGAGGGTGCTCACGCAGCAGGCACGCTTTCCCAGTCCTGCTCGTCCAACTCCAGGGCGCCCTGGCCCACATCTGCACCGCTGCAATGCACAGGCTTTCTTTGTCATCCTGTGCAGGTGCACCATTTGCCATGCCTTGAAGTCGTTCAAAGACAAGAGGCCGTCCCCGTCGGCATCCATCACCTGATCAGCGGGACATCCCCCAACTCATCGTGAGAGTTCATCAAGCGCTAGTGCTGGTGCCTGAAAGATTTTGGCAATGTGTTCTGCCCAGCGGGTGTTGTTCGCTACTGCCTTCAGGCAGGCTCCGGTTGAAGTCCGGCTATCGGCTAGCGCTTCACTGAACTGTTCTCGCCTTTCGAAGACCAAGCCACTCCAAGCCCTTTGTCAGCTCTCTGTGGTCGATTGAACCACTCCGATCAGAGTCCTGCCACATAGAGCTGCTGTGGCCGTAAAAATACCTCACCTCCTGCTCTCCAGCGCAGTCCAGCTTCATGAATGCATCTGCAGGGGTCAAACGCCTCCCACATTACAGAGCTTGCCATGATCCAGTCGCTAGCCACTGCTTGTATGCTGAGGCTCGAGCATGCCAGCCAGCCTGCAAGACATACCCATAGGTCTCAAATGAAGTCTGGTCTGCAGCCCTGCATGCAGCATTCAGGTCCACGCGCCCAGCTCAATCTTGAGAGGAATGCCCGCACGGCGAGGTCATCCAGTCCATCTTGCCAGCCGATTTGAGGAGACAGCTTGAGGTGAAGCAGCACATCCAACAGGAAGTTTCACTGTGGGTCACACCGGTCTCCGCAAACACCTCGGTTCACAGGACTCGCGCAAACAGCGAGCAGCCGGCAAAGCAAGGCTCCTTCCTTGGCGAGTGGCAGCCTTAGATGTCAACAGCAAGTGTCGTTTCATTGCAAACCACTGAACACTTCCTGAAACCTGCTCCCACGACATCCTTGCGCCAGCTCCTCGGAACCCACCCGTGCTGACTGCGCCCTCCCGATCCCTCCCGCATGCGTTCGTGGTGCTCTCTGTGTCTGCACACCTGCATGGCATTTGAGGGCCTTGGGATGTCTTGACATGTGCTTTGCAAGACCGGTCCGGACGTGGCGAAGCAATGAAGAACATGCTGGCAAATGCTGGCAGGGTCATGGTGGACCAACTTTGTGCGAAGATGTGGACAACACTTACGCGTCTTGGGAGCAGACTGCTGCCACGGGAGCTGTGACCGCCTCCTGGACGCAGCTGCAATGCTTGCCTTCTTTCCGTGACGTCAGCCAGTCCCGCAGTCCTACATGCACGGATGTCCAGCCACCATGGAGCTCGCTTTGGCATCTCCGTACGCTGCAGGGAGCGCAGCAAGATGCTGAGCTCACGTGCCTGAGCCATTGAAAATCGACGAAATCATTGAATATGTCCGAGTGCATGCACCGGCGAAGCAAGCGTCCTGGAAGTTTGCCGCTGAGTTGGTAAAGCGAAGAACCTGCTCTGCCACCTTGTGGTTTCTGCCAAACAATTACGCCAGCAGCTGCGTGGACCAGAAAGCATGGGAGTGTGTGCGCTCATGCAACCCTGCATGTTGTGCCTCAAGTTGATAACCAAGCTCAGCCGACCTGCAACGCTTCCGTCTGCTCACAGCAGTGCTGCTATTGCCGACATCTGCGGGCAGGTCGGGAGAATAAGCACTCCCGGAGGAACAAAGAGGCGCAATTAGTACAGTGCCAATGCCAGCACTGTTTAAGAGCACATCGAACAAGAAATCAGGGGCTGAATTTGGGCGAACATGTGCTAGACACTAGCATCTGCCAGACAAGCCAAGAATAAAATAAAATCAGGGTCCCCTGCCCCGGAAACCAAATTTCTGATTGAATCTCTTGACCGCCGACACGCAAGCCAGAAACGCAAGACCCCAAACATCACCACTGCAACCTACTAGACTATACCTTTTTTCCCTTGAAGTTTGAGGCTTAAGGATTCAAATCTTCAGGTTCAAAGGGTCACTCCTGAGTATGTGCTTCAAGCTTACGCAAAGGGGCCTGGGGCTGAAGCCTTAAGCTTAGCCTGCTCAGAATGTTGGACTGGACCGCGCAACAAAAAAATTGGGGCTGAAGCCTTAAGCTTAGCCTGCTCAGAATGTCGGACTGGACCGCGCAAAACAAAAAAATGAATCCAGCCCTGGAAGTATCATTTCCTGGGTTTTGGCCATCAGGACGCCAGCCCCACCAGGCTTTCTCATTTGCCGGGTTGGCCGACCCGCCAAAAAGGATGAGACAAGCAGCCCAGGGTTTTGGCCGGACCGCCCAAAACAACTGGATTGCTTACTCGGCGGGACAGCCCAAAAAGAAAAGACGACATCTAGCCCTTCTGGCCGAACCGCCCCAAAAGAAACTGAGTCATGCAACCATTGCATTTCTTGTTTCGTTTTGCGCCTCAACAAAGAACTAACAAGAAATTCAACCAAAGGGCACAGTAAGAAATACGCTGAACCTTGCGCATGTCCTTATGACGCTGAACCCAGCGCTGTCTAGATAAATCCAGGGCATCCTGCCATTGCGAAGGGAGTTTGTTATCCAACGTCGTCACTGTAATCATGCAGGCCCGTGAGCAAAAGATCCGAGCAGCCGCATCTGTCCGTTGTCTCTCTCTGTGTCTCTCTTGCTGGCTTGCTTGCTTGCTTGCCTCGAGTCGGGTCATTCGCGGTCTCTCCAAATACAGCTACACAAGAGGTGGTTGAGGTGGCACTCGGACAGGAACTTGACACTGCACTAGCTGGCCAAGCTCGAAACAAAGCCAGACTTGCTTGCTTGCAGGGCGTTTGGGGAAGTAGGGTTAGCCCGTACTACCCCTGCGCGCGAGCCATTGTCCGAGTCTGGTGTGAGACAAAACAAAGCCAGACTCCCTCCCTCTTTCTCTCTCTCTCTCTCTCTCTGTTTTCCCATTTCACTTCATGTGGGATGAGTCTGGTCCCAGGCCCCTGGGCCGTCACATCAATGTTACAAGTTGCACTAAGTCCCCGGCACAGGAACTTTGTCGGATTATGTAGCGGGGTTAACTACACAGCCGAACCAACCACCCGCAACAACAGAACCTAACAGGGCTTGGCAGAGCAAGACTTCCCTCACAACAAGAAGCATCGGCATTAGGTCATGCATGTGAATTGTCCCCCGTACTCACTGGGCATGGAGGCCTTGCATCGGGCATCACATCGTCTGCAATACCGCGCTCTCCATTCCAGCTTGCTCCCCCCGCTTTTCTAATCTTGCTGCCTCGGCAAAGTGTGAGGATCACGGGTTCGCTGCCAAGGAGTGGCTCAACCTTGTACTGTAGATGTTGGCCTCCCCCTTCCAGTGGCAATGAAGGTTGAGACTGCTGTGGCCTGGATATCAAGCGGCTCTTCGAGTCACGACTGCGTGATCTCCCCAGCAAGGCTGACTTGGGAGGTCAGGACACCGTACTCGCCGGCTGAGACGTAGCTGGTTTGCTCTTGGCCTGCAGGTACCAAGAGGATGGCTCAGGATGCCTTCAGACTCCTGGCTTCGTTCCCCCGAGGTGTTGGGGGATCGGCGGTGAGGTCACAGGCCGCCGCCGCCCCCCCCTAGTCACCCCGCTCGAGCTTTCGGACCGGTCGAACTCGTCGATGTAGGCACCTTGAGCCAAAATGGCTACTTTCTTTCGCCAGGCATGAGGGTCGAGCCCCCCACCGTGGGGCTGCCCGCTGTTGGCGGGTTGCATGGTATTACATGGCTTCTCCTTCTCTCTCTCTCTCTCTCGCTCTCTCTTGGGCATGAGGACGGGTTAGCGTCATGCCCACCCACTACCTTGAGTGGATATACGGGGAGTGAAAGACGAATGTTTCCCGCGGCAGGCTGAGGCCATAAAGTGTGCGATAAAGAGAACCGGGGACGCATACATTCTCAGTGGACATTGGCTCCTCAGGTGGGGAAGACACCACGAGTAATACCGAAAACGTGTGTGGGAACCATTCTTCCCCCGCGTTTACAAATCTAGTCCGATTTACAAGTCTAGGGCATCAGACTATCGTGGCAACTGAAAGGGGATACACAATGTTCGCGCCGGATGAATTTGGCACCCCCCCTTAGGAAAAGCGGGCATTTGAATTATTTCGAGTGCGGCAGGCGGAATGAAAGTATTGGCCAGAGGCCTCAGATTAAAAATTTCTTGGTCCAGGCGTTGCAGGTCGGCAACAAGCCCAGGAGGAGTCAATGTTTGGCGCTGACCTCTGCCGTAGCAGGCTATGTTACCTACGAGCTCGCGTCAAGGCTTGAGGGTGGGCTTCAAAGAAACTTTGACACAGAAGAACCTAGCGCATGCAAAGGATCCCCCGGTGCAGGGACCCAAGTGACCATGAAAGAGAGAGAGGAAGAAGGCTCTGCATCCCCCGTCCTAAGAGAATCCAATCCAGAAGTAGCAAACCTAAAAGGCAGTCCCTTCCCCCAGTGTGCACTCAAGCGACGAATTTTTGCCAGCTCATTGCGATTCACTGCGACTTTCATGAAGGTCCTCGTTGTGCTCTCACCTTTGCCGCACGCTTCTGCCATGTCGTAGGAGTCGTTTGTACGAACTGAACCACGTCGCCCTTCCTTTCACTTGCTCAGACTTTTACTTGAGGTACTCCCCCGCCCAGCGTACAGGTACCTCAAAATCGGGTCCCCCAAATCCTTCTTCGTGAGGAGACGGAAGAGCTTGGTCGCTTCCCCCGCAAGGCTGTGCAAGTTGAAGATCTTGCAGTCTCGACTTCCCCCGCTTTGGCGAAGCACACCGGCGAGCTCGATTGCGGCGTTCTATGGCTGACCAGTTACTTTTAGAAGGGAGGGGCAGATCCTCTCCCCCTCAACGGCACAGGATGAGGGAGGAGATTCACTGCCACGGCTCCCCCGTTTGAGAGTACGAAGACGTCGTAGTGGTCGAGGACGATGAAGGCACCTTGAGCCAAAATGGCTACTCTCCCTCTCTGTCTCTCTCTTCTCCTCTCGTCTCTTCTTTCTTCTCTTCTCTCCTCTTCTCCTCTCTCTTCTCTCTCTTCTCTCTCGTCTCTCTCCTCTCTCTCTCTCTCTCTTCTCTCTCTCTCTCTCTCTCTCTCTCTCTCTCTCTCTCTCTCTCTCTCTCTCTCTCTCTCTCTTGCTTGCTTGCTTGCAGGGCGTATGGGGCATGGGGTCGGTCCCCACAACCCCCGCGCGCGAGCGCAACGCCTGTGGTCTGTGTCCGGTGTGAAACTGGTGATTGACCCACAAGCTGTTTGGCGCTTCACGTCAGGCCCTTGAACCCCACGTGCTCTTGAACCCCGAATCCCCGTTAACCACGCGCCTGGCTCAGCTCGTGGGTCACTGTTCTTGTGTCCATGTTTGTTCACAGACACTACTGGGGCCCCTGTTGTGGTAAACACCTAGGTAGACACGTCAAGCTGCATGACTTTTAGTTTCTAGTGGCCCCGGTACGGCTTTCCGCTTTAGTTTAGGTGCTGGTTTGGTGGATTATGTTGCTTGCGCCAGTGCGGGTCCCGGGGGAAAGCAAGTGGCTGAGGGTACACACGAACTAGGGGAACGTAACACAACTTGGGCCCCCGCACTGGTGGTGGTGGTGTTGCTGTGGTGGGGCTCCGGCACGACCAGGTGGGAAAGCAAACGGGGGGTAAGGATAAGTCGACATAGGGGAACACCACACACTGTGCCGGTAGCCCCGTTGGTGGTTGCAGGTGGAGGTGCTTGTGTCGACCTTTGAAAAAACCCCCGACGGCTCAGTTACAAGCGCCACAGTACAGTCCCACCTAATACGCAGTAAAGGTAAAGGCATGTGCTGGCCGCTGTCCGGGGTGCTCTCCCCGTTTAGTTGGGGTCAAACAGGGCGTGCATCCGTCTTCTGCGGTGTGTGGCCCTGGCGTTTAAGCTCAGCTCTTCGTCGCTCAGTTGGGCTTGGTGTTGCTGGCTTCGGCGTGGTCGTGTAGTAGAGCTCCAAGTCGGGTCCCCGGTGACACTGCGCCGTCGTCGTGGGAGCCCCCATGCTTCATCTTCAGTTTCGGTACTGGGGATGTCATTGGGGTCCCAGCCTGGAAACGCTTCTCGCCTCGCCGCTGCCCAACTTCTTCTTCTCGTGTCCTCTGGCATGTGAGCCTGCCCCACTGCTTCTCCTGCGGGTCTCCACAGCATGTCTTCCGGTATAGGGCCGCTTGCTGGTGGTGGCGGGTCCCATTGCACTGTTTCGGCCATGTCCTCGGGCACCAGCTGGATTGGCATCCCCCACAGTGCCGTAGTCCATTGCTGAAGCAGCTGTAGGGCTTCCGCGGCCAGCGGCACTTGGTCCCCGACCAGGGTTGGCGCCAGCTGTTGCAGGAGTTCCCGTGCTCGAAGGACAGCGTACGGGGTGGCCCCGTCGTCTCTACTGCTTCTTCTCGTGTGGCCCGTGTTGGCCTCTTGGGACAGTCTCTGTCGTTTGGCCGCTGGTTGTGCACTTGTGGGCTCGGTGTGGCCAGTATGAGGAGGTGGTGATTGAGGAGGGCCATCCGTGTCTGTAGCCGTATGCGGGCGTACCCCCGTTGGAAGTGCGGTGGCGGTGCGGCTGTGGACAGCCGTGCTGGCTGCTGCTGTGTGGCTGTGGGTGCCATCGTCTTGGAATGCTGTGGGCAGGTGCTGTTCACTGGCGGGTTGTGTGGTCTCTCCACTGTCTGCTTGTGTTGCTGGTGGTTGGGGGCGGCTAGTGGGGAACTGCTCTGTTGCTGCAGCTTCAGCCTCGATAGCTAGGATGGTCCGCATCATGGCCTCCTGTGTTTCTTCACTGGGTAAGAGCCAGGCCGGTCCCCGAGGCAATGGGTGGGTGGATGGTTCTGCTGGACGGCAGTCTGGGTTGCCAGTAGGGCCCCTGGGCTCTGGTCCGCTGGAGCTTGCGGTTGCTGTTCCAGTGCTCGTCGGTAGTAGTAAATCACGAAGCTGGCGGAGGTTGTGGTACTGTGGCGGCTGTGGTTGTGGTTGCTCCTGGTTGCTCCCCTCTGCTTGCTGGGGGTCCTGTTGGTTCGAGCCCTGTAGATGCAAATTGGTTTGCATAAGAACGGTGACGAGTGAGTCGGTGGTTGGATGCTCGCTGGTCTTGTTCGGCTCCTTGGTGGCGGTTTGGGTCCGCGGTCGTTGCTCCGCTGTGGCTCTCCTGGTATGGTTGGCGCGCGGGCTGCTGTTGGCGAGTCCCGGCTTCGCGCGGGGGTTGTGGTACTGTGGTGGCTGTGGTTGTGGTTGCTCGTGGCTGTGCTGGGGGTCGTGTGGGGTCCCCATTTGCTGCGGTGGTTGCGTGGTGGTGGTTCGATGTGTGGTTGTGATGGTGGTCTGCAGAAGCTCCGCCCTGTCGTTCTCCTCCGGTGGGCCCCCGCTTTCGCTGCCATCGCTGCTGGGCCAGCTGCGTTCTGTGTTGTCCCCGCTGTCGGTGGCGCTATGGGCTGGTGGTGGTGGTGGTGCGAGTGGGGGCCTGGCTTTGGGCACACCTGGGGCATGCAGGGCTCCCCGTGGGTTTCTGTGAAACTCTGCCGGCACTTCCATGGGGCTGGGATCTGCAGCACGCCTCGAAAGGAAATGTCCCCGGCGGTCTTTTCGACCAGGGTCCAATCCCCTTGGTCCCAGACTATGAGGAAACTATCTCCTCGACGTATGTCGATGCTGTCCGGCAAGGGTTGCTCTGTGCCAGGCGCTCTGGACGGCCCCTCATCAACTTCTATGAGCCAGGCCCTCGGGAGCAAAGAGACCGTCAGATCCCACTTCTGACGGTCGCAGCTTCAAAGTCCCCGAGTCGGGTGGCCAGCAGGGAGACGCCCTCTGGCAGGTAGAGGTCGCGGCCGGCGGTGTTGGGCCCCCTTGAGGTGAGAATGACCCGCATATCCCAGCGTCCGTTACCCCGGTGTCGGTGTGGGTAGGGCTCGCAGGCCGGCTTGGCTCCGGCAAGGTTTGGGCGCCGTTCGGTGGTGTCGCTGTGGGGCTCTGCTGGCTGCTTGCTGCTTGGCCTGTTGGGTGGGTTCCGCTTGGCTGGTTCAGAGCGCCAATAGGGAGCAGGTGGCGGTTCAAGAGGTCCGCCCAGTTGGTGTCCCCTGTGGATGGCCGTGGTTGGCTTCGCTGGCCGGGCGGATACAGCCATTTCCGCCTCCTTCCACGTAAGGTGCTCTGGTTTAACCCAGCCTCTCTGCTGGAAAGCGGCTTGCACGGCTGATTTGTGCTCTTTATTGCGTGTCCTTTGTCGCGCCCTTCTGGCCAACGGGCCTGCTTGTCTGCTTTGCCAGGCGATGGATGCCCCGTCTCTCCCGCCTCTTGTTGGTGGCTGGAGCTTGCTGCCGCTGTGGATGCGGTGGTGGGCGTGGGCCCCGTGGCTCGCGGTCTGGTGCGTTGGAACCTGCTGTGGTTGGGAGCTGGGTGGATGGGTCCCTGTCGCTGCTGTGTGCCAGGTGTGGTGCCGTGGGGTGGTGGTGGATCCCGGTCATGTTGGCGCGTCTGCGTTGTGGCTTGCTGCTCTTGGTCTGCGCGGTGGGTCCCCGAGCGGCCGAGACTGTTGGTTGCTAGCTGATTGTGGTGGTCGGTGACCGGCCCCGTCGGCCTGTGGTGGTAGCTGTGGGCCGCTTGCTGCGGCTGGTTCTTCCGTCCGTCTGTGCTCTGGTTGCGTTGTGGCTTGCGATTCCGCCGGTGCTGCCTCGGTGGGTTGGTACACTGGCGGGTGCTGCTGCGGTTGCTCTGGTGGCGGCTGTGGTCCGGTTGCTTCCTCCTGTGTCTGCCCTTGTTCCTGCTGGGCTGGTGCTTGTGGCTGTTGCGCTGGTGGAGCTTGTTGTGACGGGTGCTGTGGTGGTTGTGGCCTCCCTGATCGTCGCGCTCTACTGCTCACATCGGTGATGACCGGGCCTTGCGGTCTAGTGTGCTGGAGTGGTTGCTGTGGTGGGGGTGGCTGAGCTGCATTCTGCAGAGGTTGATTGGGCTGCCGGGTGCGGGCTGACATAGTCCCGTTGTGGGCTGCTCTGCGATGGGCCGGTCTTGTGGCAGGAGGCCGCCTGGGTGGGTTGGGCGGGCCGGCTTGTTGGGCCCATGGCTGCTGAGGGATGCCCTGGTCGTCGTGGTCTGCTTCTTCGTCTGCGTCGTCCTCCTCCTCCTCTTCAGCTGCTGCTTCCTGCTCTGGTGTCTGTTGTTGCAGTTGTGGTTGGAGTTGTGGCTGTTGGTGTGGCTGTGGTTGGGGATGCGTGGTGGGGGGAACGGTGGCCGCAATGGTGGAGATAGTGCCCGTAGAGAGGACCGGGTCGCCATCCAGTCGGTCGAGTGTGGCGCGCAGCTGCGACCACAGATCCTCTGAGGGTGGGTCGGTATCGATGGCGTGGGGGTGGTTGGTGTCCCCGTGCTGCGGGGGGACGCCAGGTGGTTGCTTCGTCACTGGGGGGTGTGCGGTAGGGTTGCCTGGCTGGCTGCCAGTCGGTCTTTGCGGAAGCTCCTTGACAGGTGGCTTGGAGCTGGTAGGGTAGGTTGCTTGCTGTGGGCTGAGTGGTGGTGCTTTGTACACTGCTGGTTCCAGCGGGGGGGGCATCATGGGGGGTGCTTTTTTGGCAGCCCTGTCCAAGGTAGCGGGGGGGGGGTCCGTGGATGACGATGCCGGTTCGTGTGGTGGCCGTGGCAGGTGGTCGTGGAGGTAGCTCTCCAAGTGGTGGTCGTCGCTGCTCGGGGCGTTGCTCTGTTCCATCCGTGAGGCTGGCCCAGATTGCCGCCTGTGTGGCTGGGGCCTCATCTTCCTCAGGCGGCGCAAGAGGGAACTCCTCATCATCCGACTCGAGCGGTTGGGTTGCTGCCGCTGACGGGACCGGGTCTGGCCGTGTGCTTGCAGTCGGTCCCGTTGCCAGGTCGGTCGCAGCGGGGGGTTGGTTTCTTTCTCTCTCTCTCTCTCTCTCTCTCTCTCTCTCTTCTCTCTCTCTTGCTTGCTTGCTTGCAAGGCGTGTGGGAATCAGAGCGCGGGACCCTGCCCCCCTGCGCGCGACCGCTACGCCAGTGTCCGAGTCTGGTGTGAGACGGGCTTGCTCTCCCTCTCTCTCTCTGTGTCTCCGGTCCGCAGAGACCAGCTTCACCGCAAAAGACGGTGCTTTCACCAATCGACTGGAGAAGAACTCCTACTCAAACCTCAAGCAAGGCAGGTGTGCTCCGTCACCGGCCCCAGTTCGTCCAACAAGGATGAATCCAGCTTGGACTGCAAGGGGCGTGGGTGCAACGTTTACGATACTTCCTTGCAAACTCTCGGAGAGTTCCCACCTCTAAGTTTCCAAGGCATCGCCTACAGTGTTCGAGGCCGACCCGACTGTCGTCAACAAAGCTTCGAGGCTTCGAATGCTGGGACACGGGGCAAAGCGATGCCGCAGCTCCTGGGCCAATCCGAGCCCAGGAGATGCATAGAGCCTCGTAGGTGCTCAGCCTGCGAAGACCGACCGTAGCAGTCGAGATCCTACCCGGACTCAGCTTTCTCACTTCTCACCTCCTCCAGCGACAACACGACGTAGTGCCGCCCTTTCTGCATGCGGTAGAACGTCTCACGTGTCAGTTCCTGCACAGACTAGAGGTACACAGGTACACTACTTCTTTCATGATTGGGTCGTGAAGCAATGACACGGAGCGTCCTCCTGGATCTCCTTGAGCGACAAAGACCCATGATGTCGCTTCCTACAGGTGTGCGGCAGAGGCCCTACTTCTAGGTCCAGGCTGTGCAACTGAGGCAGCATCTGGATCTCCTCACCTTCCTGGAGCTGAGAAGTTTTGCTGAAAGGAAGAGCTGAAAAAACTCGGTTTTGCCCAAAGCCTCATCCAGGTCCAGCGCCTGGAAGAATGCACGCAGCCTGACGGAAGTCTTGCATGCTCATCGCGTGCCAAGAAACCGCTACACACTGGGCGGCTGAACTCATGACCCTTGATCTTTCCGTCGCCATCCTGATGCGTGCAGGTACGGGTTGTAGTAGTAACTTCCCATTCTCGTCGCGTGCTCTTGGCGTATCTTCTCTGCTCCAATGGTTCCGCTCCTGGTCGTACAACCGGTATACCTGCTGCCATAATCTTGCAGGTTGCTAGTGAAATCGTCAACTGCACTAGGGATGCTTCAGGAGCTGCATTCAGCAGACTCAACAAGATCGCAAACTGTTCGCCTCTTCCAAGCGCTCGCGTTGACGCTCCGTCATTTTTGATGTCACCGCCTGTGTGTTCAAGGAAGTGCTGGCCACTTCAGGAAAAGGTGTGCAAAAACTGAGACATGAGTTTTTTGCTCAGAGGCTTTTCAAAGTTTAGGTTGAAAATACTTCCACAGCTCCGGTACTTGCTACTGAATTGGTTGAAGTATTGCGACGTCACGCTAAATTTCACAGTACGTTCTTTTCGCTGTCTCGGCCTGCTCGAATGTATGCATCGTTGTTGCAATGACACACAGAGGCACCGGCAAGCGTGGCCAGGGAGGCCGCATCAGGCACCTCTTGCGGCCGATGCTTTCAAAGTCTTGCAAAACGCGGACAGACGAAAACAAACTATCGGTCTGTCTGACTGCTTGAGGGGAAGAAAATGATAGCTCAGCTGCTGCTCAATGCAACAAGCACTGCCAAGCATGATCTAAGTCGGGTGCCCATTCCAAAAAGCATATCACGTTCTTGATGCGTCGCACCTCAATTGCACAGAGAGTCATCGATACTGTGGGAGTCTACCATGACAATGAACGCAGGCAGTAGGAATTTCTGGCTGTGGCACCGAGGACAACCGCCAGGACCTGCCAGCAGTTTCACGATGCAACTTGGATAACCTGGAATCCTGCAGGGAAACCGTGCCTGCGATAGTAGTTGTCACTGAGCCTGAGCAAATCTGTCGGGAAGATAGCTGCATGCATTTCTCGCCTACTTGCTGCAGATTTGCATGCCGTGTCAGGTATCGTAAGATGCCGGCCAGATAAACTCGGGCAATCCTGCCAAACTCTGTCGCTCTTGCTCTCTCTCGCTCTCGCTCTCTCTCTCTCGTCGTACGTTCTGTCTGCATGGTCTTTGCATGAAGGACTTTTATTGAATTCAAGGCTTCGGGCTCGGAGTCGCTCATCCTTTCAGCTACGTTATTACAAGTTCAACTACGTGAGTATACTTGATGCTTTGGTCAGGGGTAGCATGCAGAACTGTCTGCTAGCAGGTCTCAAATCTGGTGGACTCTACTAGAGGCAGAAAGAAGCCTTTCAAGAGGTTCCGTTCATGAAGTCCTGTCTGTACATATCAAACTGAAAGCCGCAAAGTGTGAAAGGGGAAGATGTGAATCGTGATCCACCCTGAGTTTTGTAGCACTGCTGGGCCAGATGTGCATCAGAAGGCTGATCCTGACTGAGCTTATCGTCATCCGGCACACGCCCAGAGATTGGACTGGCAGATGAAGCATCGATAGACTCTTCGAACTTGTCAATGACTCAACTGAGAGCAAGAAAGCCTGCTGTTCAAGCATCGCATGAGCATGTAAAACCACAACTTTGCTGTGTACCCGGCCTTTCAGTGGTTCGGCATGGCCACCCAGAACTCCCTTGTTGACTGCCTTTCGTGAGTGAAAGAGGCCAGAAAACAAACAGCAGAGACCTTGAGAGCTGCACGAAGTCTGTGAGTGGAAAGAAGGGCAGCCCGGAAGAGGCCAAGTCCTTCGTCAAGGCCCTGAGCAGCCACCTGCAACAACATGGAGCTTCTGGTGGCACATTGCCGCAAGCTGAGGTGCCAGCGGTTTGGGCGCTTCATCTTCTCGGCTATACTGAAGCCTTGCAGGAGCCTCCCGACATGGGCAGAATGCCTTTGGCTTGCGTCTTGTTTATCGCACGGGCCTCCGGCACTTGCTCTTGTTCCTGCTCTATCTCCATCTCTTCTTCTTGTTCTTGCTCCTGCTCCTGCTCCTCCGCTCAGTCAGAATCCACAGCCGCCAATATGTCCAACGGTCCAGCTAGGCTTTGAGAGCACAGTGTCACGGAAGCACTGCGCATCAAATGTCCTGCTCTTGCTCCTGTTCCTGCTCTTGCACCTCGCGAAACGACGTGTCTGTTGCAATCTTCCTGCAGGGCTTCCTGCATTGCACGAATCCCGCAAGCCGACGACGAACATGCAGATGAAATGAGCAATATTGGCACGAAGAAAAGATGGAGTGTGGTGGGAGCGCATCGAAAGGCACAGGCGGATTGCAAAAAACACTGCTTTATGCATCTCGGCAACACGCATAGTCGTCTTACTCTGCACTGCAGAATGCCGCGGTATTCCGAGCAAAGAATTACGTGGGGTAGCGGTGCCACGCCACGCAAGACCAAAGCCATCCAAAGTCCGTTCAGCGGCGTCGAAAGGTCGCTGAAGGGACTTGGCGCCTGCTCTCCATCGAGTTCGAGGCCGCCCTCCAGGCCTTCGTTCTCCATCTCCGGCCTTCCCGGCGGAAGCGCGGCAGCGGAGCAATCGCGTCGCTTGGATTCTGGAGTCTCTAGTGTCTCTAGATGTCTCTAGTCTGTTCTGGACGAGGCACGACAAGGAGGCCAGGATCCCCTGGAAGGTCGCTTCGACCTCAACGCCGCACTAAGGCCGGACAAAACCGTTGACACATCTCTAAAGGTGCAGAACTGCGCAGACCTCGCGGACTACGCTTTCGCTCCAAACATTTCCATCACCTCAGCAAAAATCATGAGAGCTGTTTAACCTCAATCTACACGTCGGAATACGTCCTGCGTCGATGCAACCATTCCAGTTCATGATTGGATGCCGATATCGGACGCCAAGAGAAGGCGTGCAATCACGCCCGACTCTAAAGGGCAGCCTCTCACTCACACAGCCTTTCAAAGAAGGAAACAGCCTCTCAGACTCGTCTCTCAAGAAACAGTGCCGTCTCTCAGCACTTCAGGAGGAGCATTCAGCCTTGAATATCCCTGCGTCTCCGAGTCTGCGTGCATGAGTATTTTCGGCCGTGCTTGCATGATCATCGCTTCGAGGCAGCGATGATCCCTGATTCGAGCCACTGGGCAAGAGATCGAGCTTACACGCCTACACGTAGCATGACGTCGGGACTGATGCCTGCTGACCCTTTGCTTGCCCGGTGACCAAAGCAACTCCACACTTCCCTTAAACACTGGGGCGTGCACGACGAAGGGCATCAAACTCCTGCTGCGGATATAAGGTGTTGACGGATTCATGCGGGACCAACGACGTGTTTGCGCGGAGCGAACCATCATCATCTAACGATTCTAAAGGACAACTTACAGTGATTGATGGTACCAGCATCGGCATCGGGAACTCCAGTAGCACATGCCCGGCTACACGTCACTGAAACTCCAGCTCGATGGTGGAGCGGGTCCTGAACCAGCTTCTCCTTCAGCGGCTGTGGTGGACTGCCCGGCACCTTACGGTATTCAGGGAGCAACTCGCATTTTCCTTCCGATCTTATCCCCATTGTCCCAGCGCCGTTTCAGGCGGCAGCTGCGTTCGAAACGTTGAAATCAATTCTGTTTCGCCTCTGTGCTCGAGATGGGGCTATGTCCAGGTTTCTACGAGGAAACTCTTTGCATTAGTATCCTAAATCATGTGTGCTCTAAGATGGAAGCAGACAATCCAAGCAAGTTTTCGTCTTGGTGTCCTTGAGCCATCTGTGCACATCAGACCTCAGTATACAACTCGGGCAGTACTTCTCCGAGACTGAAGTCAGCAGAGGCCAGGAACGGTACGGAGCACTTTCCAAGTGGGCTGTTGCGTACCTTTGTAGCCGCACGATGCCCTTCCAAGCAAATCCCTACTCCGTCCGTGTGTCCGGCGGCAAAGTCGCACCAACAGAGTAATGATGAGGATGGTACTGTCTCCACAAATTTCTGGCATTTTGCCTTGCAAGAATCACCAGCAGAGCGAAACATCTCTTACAACAGGACCGGCGCAGTCCACCCCAAGTGCCCAGCTGGCACAACAAACGGCTTTTCTTCAAGTCCTCGATTGTCTCCATGTAGACCGAATGGTTTGCACCGACAACTTACACTACAACTTACTAGAACCAAATCAGGATGACGATAAAACTAGTAACTAGTACTGCTAATTAGTTAGCTAGTTCCACCTGTTAGGGGTTTCCACTCAAAGGGCTACGTAGCTTCCACAGCATCCGTACTCCTGCAGGTGCCGTGTCAATCGATATGTTGCCCGCAAACTATACAGGTCCCGTAGGCTTAGCGAGGTACTTTGTGGATCAGTCACGCTAGTGTCGCTGGCTTGGGCTACGCGTGCTCACTCTTCAGGTGGATTGGGTTGGATTGGTGCTGTGTTGGTCCTGTTGATGCTCCTGTCTTTTGCTTCACGAGCGGAGGATTGTGGCATCTTGAAGCGGGACATGGTTCAGGTACAGCTGACACATCAGTGCACAGAATGAGGCGGCACCAACACGCAGCAAGACCTTGCCGAGGTTTGTCTTATCGGGGCGGCAAGAACCAGTACCTGGAGAAAGCCGCACAATCGGCAGTACAAGATCTGGGGCATCATCATCCCAGAACATGCCAAGAGCACCGGAAGCATGCATTGGAACGGCTCGAAGACGTGGGCGACTCCGGCCCAAGGTCATGGAAATCAAGGACGGAGAGAACCAGGCAGTGAACGCTACGGCGCAAACCAACCGAGAACTCAGAATGGCGTTGGATGCTCTGGCATTCGACCCACCATCGAAAAGTCTTCGCCACCAATGAGCTTCCATGAGACGCATGTCAATACATGTCAGTACGGATCCGTATGGGGTGGTCGACATACATTCAGTCATTTGGGAATGGGGTGATCAGCATCCGCTTCACGCTGCCTACATTGGGTTCCTTTGGGGCTATTGTTGCCTCTTCTTCGAGTTCGGTGAAGACATTGCTGATGAGGTAGTGTTCAATTTCAATGAGATGTGGCATCCGGGATTAGGATGGATTAGGTTGAGGTGGGAGGTTGCTGGTATGAGTCTGCGGCTTGTGTGCACGGCAATGGAATCCGCAAGTATCAGATGCAGCATGGAATGCAGGGGCTGCGGAATCGACAGTGCATCGCGAGAAGATGGGCAAATATAGAGTGAGCACGGGCATGCGAGACGGGATGAGGATGCTGCCCTGAAAGGCAGAAACTGTTGGAAACCACACCTCAGGATTTGATTAGTTTCTCTCCTGTCGTAGAAGTGACGACGCCGGACGGAGTCTTGAGAAGAAGCTTGCAGAAGCGCATCGCATGTCGGTAGGACTTGCTATCCACAATGTACAGATATGTACGGTGTACAGAACAAGGTGTTGCGCAGCCTGTGCTGCACGAGGTCCCGCAAGGTGCTTCGCCGCTTCGCTTGAGGCACCTGAATTGACAGTCCAGCGCTGCTTGGAGTCGCTGATTCCGCAACAGACTGATTCAATGCTTGACTAAGCTTGATGTATGAGGGTGCTGGTGTTGCATGTTAGAGATGCTGTGGCATGCTGCAAGAAGGATGCTTCTTGAAATGCTTGTCGTAGGATCTGCAAGGCTTGGGAGCTCTGCATCCAAACAAAACAGAAGATCGGACGTGCATGAAATGAGACGATACAATAGTTTGACACTAAGGGATCCTTCAACGCGTCCGTTTGAGTGCTCCTTCGCTGTCATGCTGCATGTTTTTTTTTTTGCCGATTTCATGTCGAATCGCATCGTGACCCTACTACAAACCCATCTTCTTACGTAGCAACATGCTGAAGGCTTCGAGGGGGTCGCCTCCGAAACAGTTCGGAAAGGCTGCAGGGTTCTCACGAGACTCTTTCAACGGGCTCACTGGTAGTGGAAGTCGAACGGCAGTTGTCACTGTCGGGTTAACTTTGTTGTCGTCCTTGCCTGAAGTCTCGGCCTTGCAGGTGAATCCTGCCTGCTCCGAGCTCGGAGCAAGGAGCAGAGCCGGGTCCAAACGCGCTGTCACGACGAGTCGAGTTGTCTCCAAAAAAGTTTCCTGGTAAAGCCTCCCTAAACACCTGGTGTGGGGCTGTGGACCCTGAAGAGCTGCCTGCGGTTTCTTCTTACCTTTGGGCAACGTCAACATGTTGGAGATGGCGATGCTCACAACGCACAAACTTCTGTACAACAACGTGTGGCGTAAGGGTACCTTGAGCCAAAAAATGGCTAGGGTGCTCCTCCCTTCGTCCACACAGCCAAGGGAATCCACGTGCGTGAAGCCCCCGCACGTTACCGCGCACTGGAAACGAGGGCGGAAAGACTCAACAGCAGTCTCATTCACTGGGCCCCCCACCGAAACCCCCAGAGCGAGGCACCCCCAACCTGCCTGAAGTCTGAGCTGGACACCCCCAAACCGGCCAGAGGAACGCTACACGTTTAGTCCCGGCCCAGTCAGACGGAGGCTCCCAAGCACTGGTATCAAGGCTAGCAGGGTTAACAGCAAAACCCCCACTTAACTTAGCATCATGGCCGGTGGGTGCCCCTCCCCCTCCCTCCCTCCCTCTCTCTCTCTCTTTCTCTCTCTCCTTCTCTCTCTCTCTCTCTCTCTTTCTTTCGCCAGGGTTGTGGGGCAGAGGATGTTCTCCCCTACCCCGCGCGCTAGTGCGCCCCCGACTGTTGCGGGTGGCCATGGAGGCAAAAGTTGTGTTGGCAGGGACCCCTGCGATCAAAGGCCAAGTGACAGGTAAGAGGTCAGAAAAGGGGGTTCCCCCTGCCAACACGGGTACTGCATGCGTGCGGACAAAGAAAAGGGCAACAGCCCTGTGGCTAGCACTGAAAAGAGTTCTGGGAGCTCAAGTTGAGCACGGCGCAATGTGGTGGTTGGCTCCGGCGGCCCGTCTTATAGTACAGCCTCACGAGTGGTCGAGGCGAAGAGGTAGAAAACCCCTATGGAAAGGGGCGAGCACATCCTCAGGATGCCCCCGTCCAAGAAGCGTACGTTAGGAGAGAAATGTGGACTCGGACGAATTGGTCAAAATTGGCTGAAAAAGCTGCTCTCACTGGCCCCTCTCACTGTTGCCTTCGCCACGTCCTTGATGTTTGTATCCCCGTTGAAGATCAGGAAGCCATTCTCCCCGTCGTCTTTGTGTTTTGCGGAACCCCTGTGCTCGTCCTTTTGTTGGGCCCTGTAGCGCTTCCACAACTGCTCATCTGTCTCTTCGGCAGTTGTCCTCTGGAGGTCACCTTCTTGTAGGAGTTGCTGCAGCCGACGTTTTCAAAGTTAGACTGGAAGGTGGGCTGATCGGCTCCGGTGGTGCTCGTGACCCTGAGGAGGGGTTTTCCCCTGGATTGCTTGTTCCGGCCTCCATGTAGGTCATCTCGTCGTCCTCGTCATCGTTCTCCTCGTCCATGTTGTCATTGTACTGGGGTACATCCCCTGTGTTGGCTTCTTCTTCCGGCGCGGCTGGGTGTCATCGTCGATCACTTCACCTACGTCGTCCTCGCCGTCGTCCTTGAAGACGTCAGGTCTGGGGTGCAGCCCCCGGTGCTCAACCTCCAAGTTTTTGTCTCTCTCTCTCTCTCTCTCTCTCTCTCTCTCGCTCTCTCTTCACTTCACTTCACTGGGGATGGGTTCGCACGCGAATCGCGAACCCGGGCCTAGGCCCCCCCTTCCCCGTTTTGGCGGTGGAAGAGGCTTTGGGGTTTTCAGCGGTCGGCAACTACGTACTGGCGGTTGGTGTGGCTGGTGAAGTGTGGCTGGCGACGGACCCGACCCTCCCTGTACTCTATCGCGCGTCCCGGCCTCATCCCCGCGCTCTCTTAAGCAAGTTCCTTAGCCCCTCGCCAGCCATGCTTCCCCCACGCAATCGCCGCGGCCGATGAGCACTCCCCGAGTACAACAGCACAACCGAACACAACTAAGTGCAGGGCTTTAAGGAGTGCAGGGTACGCAGTGCGCAGACAGCTTGTCACAAGTAAAGTTGCGTTCCCCCTTCGGCCAAAGTGTTGTACGCAGGGTCCCCCGCCTTGCAAGTAAGAAGCAACAGCAGAAGACAGAAAACAGAACCTACCTCTCTCTCTCTCTCTCTCTCTCTCCCTCTCTCGGGCATGAGGGCCGATCAAAGCCCGCGGGCATCATGCCCACCCGACGTGTTATCGGGTTAAGGGGAGTGAGATTCGAGTGTAGGCATCGCAAGGCTAAAGCCATAAAGACTACGATATCGAAAGCGCATGACCGCACTCTCACAGAAAACATGCGTTAAGTCAATAGCTATTCCCCCGATGTGAGCAAACAACCCTCTGGTACAGTTTCATAGATGGCATTTTAAGGGGGAAGAACTGACCGCTGGTTCCCCCGTTCATGATTCACACATGGACGAATTTCAAACTGCAGGGCGCAAGCACAGGTTGAAGCAACACCCAGATCAAAGCTTTGACGGACAGGCAGCAAAAGGAGTGTACGACCCCGTATGTAATTGTAAACCTGCTCAACTTGATCAATCAAGGCTGCCCCCCCGAGCTCGGTTGTTGACTACCGGTAGGGTTTGTGTGAAAGATATGACATCCCCCGAAGGAGCTAAGCACAGGTGCTCGGGTCGGAGCATCTTCTCCGCGCGTTTTGAGAGAAGGTCCTGCTCCCTACGGGTAGGCGGGGACTTACAGGTACCGTTGAAAGCTTTGCGGCCCCAGTGTGGAACATTGTGCAACTAGGAATGGGGGATCCCCCATTTGAGGCAACAGCCGAAGAAAAAAACGCACAAGCAGTTACCAGTCAAGCTTCAACAAGTCCGAAGCTAGCTCACGACAGTTATCGGCTCTTGCCTAAAACAAAAAGCATGCAGGTGGAGGCTTCCACGACCTGCTCAGTACGACTTCACGAATCCACCGTTGTCATCGCCATCGTGTTCGGCGTCCCCAGGGTTTGTGGTGCCTTTTCTACCAGCCAGCTGCATCTGCCATCGTGCTTTGCCTTCTCTTCGTCAAAGGGTATCCCGACCCCTGAGTTTTTATACTCCCCCGCCCAACAAAGTTGAAGTACTGAAGGAGAAAATGGGGCGGGTCAGGGTCCCCCGGGATGCTGAAGCGGAGTATCTCACAAACCGCAGGAAGGTTGAAGGCGAAGATCTTGCACTCTCCCCGATCACAGCTGACCCCCTTCCCCCCGAACTACCCCCTCGAGCTGCGAAGTTCGGGTCGTCCACCTCCACGCTGTAGGCACCTTGAGCCAAAATGGCTTGAGCCAAAATGGCTCCGCTCTCTCTTGCTTGCTTGCACTCTCTCTCTCTCTCTCTTTCTTTCTTTCTGCTGGGCTTAGGGGTCCCGCGAGACCCTCAGGCCTTAGGCCCGCCCAACCCTCACACTGTACTAGTGAGTGGTTGGCATTGGGGTCCATCCTGAAAACGGCATAGGACTACGAAATATGCCCCAGGCTTACAAGTAAAGAGCCCCCCTGAACGCTAAACGCGGAAACAACCCCCGCCTCACCTCCGCGCCCCTATGGCAACTGTCCTTAGCCCTTAGCAGGTTCAGGGGGGCAAGAAAAAGCCGGTTTAATTATCCCCCCTCGTTCTCACTCTCTCTCTCTCTCTCTCTATGTCTCGCTCGTTCGTCCTTTCTGCTTAAGTTCTGCATCATCTACCGCCATCTGCGGCAGTCCTTGACGAGACCATTCACGATCAACCACCCGATGATGTCAACCTGGATCCGACAAGAAATTGAAACACATGCACGAGTGCGTGTTTCAAGGATGGCACCAGAATCTGTTGTTCCCAGTTCTTGCCCGTTCGTACGCGACTGATGCGCTGTGCCGAATCAACGCCTCCACCAGCTGTCAGAGGCATGTGACATATGTGTTCCACTCATGTGTGGATGCGACTGCCTTCAGCCTTTGCAAGGACCTTGTTGGCCAAGGACCTCTGCACAAAGATCACAAGTTCATAGGCTCACGAGCATGATCTGCAAAACCAAGAAAGGCATCATAAGCTTGCTGCGCCACTTCAGGAATCAACAGGATCTCGATGCACTGACCCTGACCTGCCAAACATGGTGGATCCCATCTCCCAATTCATGTCTTGTACAGTCCAGAAAGCTCCCAGGAGGCTAACCGACTCCTCGCATCCTGTAGGCTCCTCGCAAGTGCCAGTAGGCAGCCGGCAGCCGTGATTGCTACAGTACAAGTTGGATCACGTCTTAGTTACGGTGATATATTTCTGTGCCCGGCCTTGTGCATAGTCGCGGAATGTCATGTCTTTGCTGAGCGTGAGGCAAGCCTGAAGGAGCAGAAGGACAGCGTCGTCTGGAAGCCGAATCTTGGGTCCCGAGTGGTATGCTGTGCACTTGATTGGCTGCTTAATGTCCATGCCTGTCACACCGGACCCCTCGCTTCCGAATCCCTGGCCACATTGCCGGTATTCCAAGGAAACACCTGTGGTGTGCACGTGGTCGTAGAAGGAGAACCTGTTCTCCTCGGGGCGGAGATGCATGCGAACGAATCGGACGGCTCAAACAGCTCAGACTCGCTCCCAACCCAGTCCACACCTGAGAGAACGGTGCGGTTGAACGGTTGATCATACCTAAATCAGGTACACCGAGTACCATAACCGAGTTCCCCGCTGCGCTAACGACACTTCCTTGCCGTCCCCTGAACTGAAAACTGCTGTCCAGCGCATGAAGTAACAGCCCTTTACTGGGCTTGATGCGCAGAAGAACCATGCGCTCGTCGAGGCTGTTTAAGAATACCTGACAAGCAAGATTGGCCAACCGGCCAGCATTTTCCAGCCCTGTCGTGATCTATACCTGTGAAATTATTGTGAAGCTTGTCAACAGTCAAGACAAGATGGCGGCATTATTTCCTGAACCGGCTTCTTGTCGGAAACCTTACTCTCTCTGTCTCAATGGGTCACCCAGAACCCCATGGATAGAAGCCCAGCCTGTGCAGAATCTGTAGCACCAGCCGGTAAGTTCAAGAGGGGCCTATATTATCTGAGATTACTCCCGTTTCCTTTTCCCCAAGCGTCATTTCTGTCTGCGAAAGCGGACATGATGCATTATTGGCCTGAATGCAGGGTCACGAAAACAACGAGTGTCAGCATTTTCGACCATCTAAGTGCTGGGTCGGATGCAAAGAATGTGAAGCTGAGCTCAACACGACACCCTCCAGTCCTTTCAAACCATTCTGGAGGAGATACGTGGCCACCTGTGCAAAAGAAGAGTCCAGCTGCCTAGCTGCACAGCAACCCTGCAAAGCCCTGCCGACCTCGCGGTTGGTCATTCCCGTGATGAGGGCACCAGTGTCAATTAGTGCGTGGTATTTTGGCCTATCCAGATTTCACGAACTAAGTTCTGCTCGTGATGACAACGAAGAAACGGAAAAAGGCGGGCCTTCCGTCTGAAGATATCGCCTTTGCTATGAAGTCCAACAGCGAGTGAGGACTCCAAGCATCCACCTCCTGCACGGTAACCACCTGATACAAGGTCACCAGAGCATGCGCTGCCAGCTGTCTCGGTTCGCCAACTTGTGTCGGTGGCCTCACGCCTGCTGAGGGTGTCTAGGATCTTGCCATCGTCGCCTCTAGGTGAGCGGCTGACGGCGTTAGGCGCAAGGCCAAGCTGGAGCCTTCTGCGTATGCACATTTGCCCATCGCCTGGCCACAGAATTGGGTAAGCTCCTTGCACTTCCGCGAGAAGCAGAACCGTCCTGCGGCAGCAGGTCGTTCGGAGTTCCTTGCGACAGGAAACAAGTCAGCAGCGTGCTAGACGCTGCTAGAGGTGCTTCAAGTGTTGGATGCGGCGCACCGCTGAAGCCGAAGCACAAGCCAAATAGCTGGTGACCGGCGAGTTCCTCGACTTGACATGAAGCACAACGGGTTCCGGCTGCACATGATATACAAGCTGCACCTGGCCGCAGGCCATGTACTGGCTTGGGTTTACATCGATGATGCCTTCCACGGCGATATGTGTCCAGACATTGTGCGTTTGCAGTCATCCCGAAGCCTGCGCCAGGCAAGAAGGTGGAGTGATCAAAGAGGTACTCCAGAGCCAAAGGCGACTCCCAGACCACATCGTACACTGCCCGCATCTGCTCCTTAGCCCCCGATGATTGCAGAGCCATTTGCCGTATGATCTTCCGGCCAGGAGATGCACTGGATCTGCAAGATCCAAGATTTCCAACGGCCAAAGGCTGGACCTTCCACCAGTGCATGAGACGGTCCGAATTCGACATTTCTGAACATGGATTGCCGCAGAACAATCAAGCGAATGCATTGTTTCTTGCAGGGTTCTGCGAAACTGCGGGAGACGAAGACTTGTCTTTTGACCCCCAAAGAAGCAGTGCGGGGGCGGTTGCTGCGGTGACCCAGGATCGCACAATCACCAAGACAGCCAGACCAAGAACAAAGCTTGATGCCGCAGGTCGCAAGCATCGTCGAACTCAAGTCTGCTAACACGAGCTCATACATGCATCTGCAGCATGTCTGGCATTCCAGTTGTTGTAACAAGTTGTAGCCATACCAACACATGTGCACTGAGGGCTCATGCAGGGTGAAATCAGGTGGGTTTTCGGGAAGCGGGCAAAAAGAAATACTATGGTGGAAGGACAGCGCGAGTTCGGGATCAGTCGAACGATAAGTCACAATGCCGTCATGCAGCGCATTTCAACGTTTCCAGCCTCCCTTGAACTGCACGTGTGAGTGCTTGCGAGAACGTACGCACTGAAATCAGATCCACGATGGAATTTGGAAGCTTGCATTGTGAACAACCTTATTTTCACATAACCGAACGGGGTCAGTAAACTCTTGCAATGCATGGACAATTCTGTGGCCCTGCCTACTCTCCTTAGCAGCATCTTCAGTCACCTCATAAAGCTTCTCGCACAGCTGGCACGGTAAACGATAGTCTGCACCGTCTCGGCGAACTGCTGTGCGGTCCTGAAGACCAGTTTTTCGCCGCACAGCCTGGCAGCAGACCCAGCCTAGAAGGCAGCAGATTGCTAAACCTTCTTGCCGTGCACCTTGTCCTTTACATCCTCAAGCCATGTTCCACTGGAGCTGAAACCCCGCCTTGTTGTACAGCAGCTGCTGTTTGAGGTCTGGATGCATGCTTGCGCTGAGGGCTGTGCACGAGTGCTCCAGCCTAGCGTAACGGAAGAGCCATCTAGTTCGACCACTCGGACGGCTCACATCTTGCACAGTAGGTACATCAACATCCGGCACCTTGCAGACCATGTCCACATAAGACAAGCAAGCTGCTCGACGATGATAGCGAACCTCGTGACACAACGTCTTCCGTGATCCTGGCTGCAGAAAGACTTCCACTTTTGGGCCATGAGCTGTGCTTTCAATCTTCATTTCGTCAAGCAGCGCCTGAAAGAGTGGATGTGTGTGGCTGTGTTTTTGCCATGTGTTGTGGCTGGCTCGCCTTCAACAGCTCTCGCAAGTCGCCTGCCTCTACATGCTGGTTGCAAGACTTGTTTTCCAAAGTTCTTGTGAAGGCCTCGGGCGGCCCTCTCAGGCCCGTGAAACGGTAGGCAAGGATCGTAAAGCCTTGGCAGCATGCGAAGAGTGCCCAGATGAGCTTCTTCTTGGCGTCTGGGACCAAGGCCGATGGTGACATCTGGATGTGAAAACTCAGACCTAAAGTGTCGGGTTCTGGTATGCAAGGATATCCCAACTCATCGAGGCGGAAGACTGTGCCGGGTATCACATGATAGGAAACCCAACTCCAGGCCCAGACTGTTCACTTGGCCGATCTTTTCCCACGAAAGGCACAGCCAGCCTTCACAGACTCGGGCTGCCGCATCTTGTGCTTTCAGCGCCCCGTGTGGACACTTTGCCTCAGCCTTGAGCGAGCAGTGCCACGCTGCTTCAATGCACCTAGCACGACCACCAAGGTTTGTAAAGCTCGTCGCTACTCGCAACCGATGAAGGCAACTGCTTTCCAGGTCTCCGCCGGACAGAAGGCCATATGACACCCGATGCACCTGCACGACTTAGCAGCCTTAGCATTCCCCTCCTATGGACGCTGTCAATTCGTCACTTTCGTGTGTCTGCTCGGGAATTCCTTGCTCAGAACGTGCGGAAGAAGCTCGTGAAGCCTTAAGTTTTGCGAAAGTGGTATACAGCATTGTGAATGTGCAGCAGGGGCAAAGGCCATTCAACTGCCAAGTTCACAGGCTTCAAGACCCCATCATCTGCAACACGGAGCTTCTCCTTTATCCCCTCCTGAGCATGTGAGATCTTGCACAAACAGAAACCCTTGTGGATCCTTTCAGACTCCTCCAACTTGTATGGGCTTCGTAGGAGTCGCCGCAGCTCAGTGCTTCCGACCTGCATATTTACAGTACAAGGCGTGCTCAGGCAAAGGCCCCAATCGACAAGAAACGGTTTGAAGGTAGTGTTCCAAGCCACGCTGCATCCGGATATCTGTCAATATCGCAGCTGGTCGGCATCTGCTGAACAACTGCAAGGTGCAGGAGTCTCCGGACCAACAATATCGGCTGGCTGAAGTTACGACAGGAGTCGGCCGTGACGAACTTCTGCACTTAGCTTTGGGCAACGCCTCATAGTGTGTTGTAGCAGAAGCTGTGCGCAGCTCAGTCACTCTTGATTACACGGTGATCGTGAATGAGTGGCGCGGAAGTGGGCACGTCCAACATCAGGATCGCACTGACAACAGGAGTCCCTAGCTTGTTTGACCCCGGCGGTAACATCATCTGTCTAGTGTCGGTCGGCTCACACCGGAAGAACTCTTCGAACATCTAGAGATGGAAGCTGGTGCACGTGTTGTGATGTGTATGCTCGCGAAGACGGGTTGTACCGACTCTTTCGTCCCGTGGCTCAGTGATCAGCTTCTCGCACGAAACCCATTTTTGCTCGCGACCAACTAGCCGTGCGTGAAATGTGCACACAAATCCCGGATAGAACCTATGACAAATTCCTTGAGCCTTGCCTGCCCTGCATCCGACCGAGCCGAGAGCCCGAGTATCGTGTTCCCCAATCACCACGGACTCATGTCACCAACAGCCCTAGCCGCCCTGGCCGTCCGGCATGGGCACCCTGGCCCTCCACGCTAATCTCCTGAAACACCCTGCTGCCTGGCCGTTCACGTGCTTCTCGAGGAAAATCGCAGTCCTTGCGTGCAGGCTGTGCAAGTGCCGAAATTCTACATATTCTACCCACAGAAAGAGCAAAGGACCCCGCCAGTCAGCCAAGTGTGGCAGCATCTCGGACTTGTAAAATTCTTTCGACAGCACCTAAAGCAGCAACATGCCGTGCAAGGGCGTGTAAGCAAAGCGAGAAGCGTCGGAGTTTGCTGCAGATCACGGTCTGAGTGCAGGTCGACGAGATGCGGCACAGACTGCAACATCCGCTTCTGGCATCCTTCCTGCAAAAGCAGCGAGCGCCGTTGGACCAACTCAACATATTCCGACATGTAGCACGATGGTGCTGGCACCTCAATTTTTGATTTCAGCGCAGTCAGTGCGGTCTGAGCCTCGTCTACATAGGCACGCTTTAGGCTCTGCAGCTAGCGAGTGCAATCACTGTGCAACGTCTTGTGCGGTGTTGCAGGCAACCTCGCGGCGGTCGTCGTAATGCACCAGGGGAACCTTCCAAACAGTGAACGCAGCATAATAAACTACTCAGTAACTTGCATCGCCTAGCAGCTAGCATGACCTGGAGCAGGCTGGACACCTTGCACGATGCGGCGAACACGAGGTCCAAAATGTGGAAGGGGAGCTTGTGGCGCAGACCTTGTGCAAATCTCTCTTGAGTGCCAGCATAGCCCCTGCTGCTCGTCTGATGCGACCAAAACGGTCTTTGCTCTCCCTGGCATCCTCGAGGTCGAGCCTAGGAGTACAGTGCATGGGATTGGTTCCGCAGCTCGCGGCGCAAGATACCGGCGGCTGCTTCAAACCAGTGGGCCAGTTGAGTTCACCTGCGGACGATAGTTTGTACTTCTCAAATTTGCGAGTTTCTTGGTCTGTGGTCTGTGTCCCAGACTCTTCAGAGGGTCCAACCTGAATCGTCTATAGGATCCTCCAAGGACGCACAGGACCTCCGAGTAAGGCTCCCACAGCAGATCCACCTGCACCAGACAGGTTGTAAGCTGGAGATGCAAATCGCAGATGGCTTCGCGCCTCATCCAGAAGAAGCACACCTTTATGGAATCTTCCAAGTACCTCCACACATGTCACGATATCTCTGCCGGACACTGTGTACACAGCCCTAGCTCAATGCCATTGGATGCCAGATGTTTTTTTGAGGAAGAATGGACGGAGTTCGGCCGAGGTACAGATTCTAGAGGGGAGAAGCTTCGAAACACCCATTGCTGCAAGAAAGGTTTCGCCTGATTGCAATGCTGCACGTGTTGGCTTTTTGTGCTCTCCTCCTCAGGACCTGGGCTTGACAGAGAATTTTTCGATCATGCACCGACTGGCTGGGAGCTCGATTAGGACCATGACTCAACTCATCAGCAAAGCTAGCTTTGCCACCCCCAAAGAGACGCTCAAGCCAGTTGGGCTTCGCCTTACAGCACAATGAGAAACACTTGGTTCGTGGCTTCGATATATCATGCAAGCAGGCGAATCAGAGTCTGACATCGCCCTGCTGGAGTTTGCACCTTCCAGGAGTGGTCTGCGCCAATCGCGACAATGCCTCAAAGTTTGCTACTGCCTTCGACTGTTGTCCAGCTGGTTCAGCAGCTCGAGCCGTTTCAGGACGATGCTTTTCAAGGCCTCAATACATCGGTCCCGAGCTAGTTGCTGGAGCTGTAGACATGGGCACGCAGACGGCTTGAATCGAGGGCATCGGAAAACATTGAAAACGGAGGTAGCTCAATAAGGCCTTTCCCTGCTGACGCTTCAGGCCAAATGACACAACGGCGAAACCGGAGATGTCCCGGACACTGTGCCGTGATACTAAGTCCCATGCCGTTGGAGTTGCCACCTCCAGATGGCAGTGTTGCTGAACCCAAACTGCCTGCTCCCCCACACTGCCATCTAGGATACGCAACTGGGAGTGAAGAGACTGACATATACCCACGGAGCTGTATTGGCCAGCTTGGTGCAGGCGAGACGAGATGCGACTTCGGAAACCCCCAAACGTCCAATTCACTCACGCAGTGCTCCAACGTTTGTTGCGGTCGTATACTGAGGACTAGGCCAAAGCAGCTTGTCTCTGCTCAGCTGTCAGAAGCTTTTGGCAAAGTGCAGCTGATGGCACCGTCGCCTTGGTCAGCACGGCTATTTCGGAGCTCAGCACTGCCAGCAACTGGCATCAAGAAAGCGGCACAGAAAGAAAACAGCAGCTTGGTGTTTGCTCTCGCACGTTCATACAGGCTCTGAGTTGTGATGACAGCAGTGCTGCAAGTGGTCGCTCATGCAAGCGGCTTGATGTGTTACACCAACAGCCGAAAAGAAAAGGCGCACTGTGCGCAAATGATGACACAAGGCCTTCCACCGTCCTTGGAGGACGCGAGGCCTGCTTCAAGATCCGCCGAAGCGGCGTCTTGGGGGTTACCTCAAGTAATCTCCACCGAATCTGAAAGTTTCGAACGCTTGCTTTTTGCATTCATTTGCAACCCCCTTGCCCGGCTTCCCTTCATTTTACCTGATTGTTCGGCCTTCCCCCTCCTGCTCCCCTCTTTCCTGCTCCCTCCCCTCCCCCTCCTTCCCCCGTCACCCTGCCCCGCCCTCCCCACCTCCCCCACCTCCCCCACTCCCCCGTTGCCATCACAGCTTCAGGCCCCATGGCCGAGGCTCAGTTGCAGGTCGGGCGGTGCCAAGCCTTCCTCCAACCCCGATCGGCACAGCGACACGGGAATCCATGGGCGTCCATTCTCCTAAACCCTCTTACGGGACAAGGCAAAATGCCTCTGTCCCCAGACGCTGGGACCAAAAAAAAGTACATCTGCTGAAGCTACGGACCTCGCACGGATACAGTGGCAGACTGCAAAGACGTGAGAAAGAGTCAAGTGCTTGTCACGGCAGAGTCTGGAACTTGGGCTCCGAACCCTGTCAAACTGCAGAGTGAGCACGGCTTTCATCATAGCCTTGACACTTCTCGCTGCCCAGACTGAAGTTCAGAGGAGTCAAAGGATGTCATAAGCAAAGACGAGTCGCTGGTGAGGAGAAGCGCTCGATCAGGACCGCTCGTGACATCTCGAGTAGAGCAGCAGGCATGCAAGCACAAACCAGCCTTGGCTGCACGGTGCAAGCAGCGCGGTTCAATACCACAAACGCAGTTACCTGTGGATTTCACCCGCGAGCTGTCGCATTCAACTCACGTCAGGTCGTCGGTATAGAACTACAGGGATCTACAGGGAGGTTTGTGGGAGTCTTCAAGGACTCTCAGTCCAAAGCCGTTGACTGTTCGCCAGTAGCAGCACAAGCAGAGGCGTTATCACCTCAAGCCGGAGACACACTGAGCACTCGCTCTCGCGACTGTTGCCAACTTGCAGCACGAAGCACAGTGGTTTTCCCGGCGCCCATGATCATCTGATGGCACAGGGACTGGCCTCAGTGTAGCGTGGTGCAAGAACGGCCGGTGTCCTTTGCGTGGTGCTGCGGTGCCTCCTGCTGCACGGTGTAGGAAGGTTCCCAACAGCCTCACCTCACTGCCCGTCGCTGCAAGCTCTACAGGATGAGTCTGAAAATGCCTGCGCCGGCGCCTGGCCCTCACGCAGCAGAATGTTGCAAAGGAACTCAAAAACGAGAAGACGAGGGTCCAAGCCTTTCAAAGTTTAGATCTTTGTCTTTGATGCACCTAGTAGCTGGACGAACTCGGGAGCACGCAGACCATCTGGCTCCGAACTTTGCAGAAGAAGCGCTCCTGAGGAGTCGTTCAATCGATTTCGGCACAGAACTTGTGCCACTTTAGGTGCCAGCTGCGCGAAGCTGGGCTGCAAGTTGAGCCTGAAGTGCACAGAGCCTTCTCGGGCCTTCTCTGACCTTCGCCAACGACAGCGAGCCAAGGTCGCACACCTGGAGAACGGCCACTTCTGTGCTGTCCTTGGACAGGCCAGGCGAAGCTTGATGCTGTGTTGGCCTCTTCAAGACTGCATCCATCCTAACATGACTGCGCTAAAGCATGATGCATGGCATCGACTGCATGACTCCGATATACTCCGATTGTCTAATGCCCTTTGTCCTTGGTGGCTCGAGCTAAAGCCGCTGAAAGCTTGGTCACCAAGGCGAGGCTTCTGCAGGCCTCAGTCGTCAGTCGCCCAAGTCCACGCCGGGCCGCCGCTTTGCCCCTTCTCGGCCCTTCCCCCATCTGCCGCTCGGCCGGCCTGGCCAATCCGCACGCCACGACAGAGACCATCGACAGCCTGCCGCATACGATGAGCTGGAAGACACGATCTCAGCTGCCGCAGGCCGAAGGCCCTTCGGCCTTTTCCATCAAGGCCTCCATGTCCCCCTGAGGACGCAGTCGAATTTCCCAACTAGAGTATAACTAGACGATCGGGATCGCTACGCTCCGCTACTCTGGTTATGTCAAGGCTGGACTGCCTCTTTCAGCATGGGATTTGCCCGTTGAAGTGCATCCGTGCTGTGAGGCTCCTCAGCAAAAAACCGAGCGTGCGATGTCCATCCTCGAGCATTCTCGCGCAGAATGTATGCAGCATTTTCGCGGAGTCCTCTGCCATCAGGACTCGGAGGAGATCAGAGAAATCAAGTCGAGGAACGTGTCCACAATGCCTCGCTGGAGCACTGGTCTACTTCAAAGCCATCGCTGCGGGCAGCGGCCTTCCCAACCAGTCCACATCACTGCCGGCATTCGCAGCAATCGTCAGGCGGTCTACAGTTTCCGACAATGCTCTTCTGTCCTGCATGTAACGAGTATCTGAAGCCTCGCGATGGTCAAGCGCTGACAATACCACGATGCCGACGCGAGTCCAGTTTTTCCCTGCCGCCCTCGCTCCCGGTCGCAGTCTCAATTCAACAAGGTCCTCGTCTCTAACTTTCCGAAGCTCTTTCTCCTGTGCATCCACATCCCCTAAACTTTCGTCAGGTATCCCGCAACAGTAGGCGCCACGCTAGAAGTGTCAGCTTGGAGGGGTCTATGCTCAGATTGACCCTGACTTCTTCGGACAGCGCTGTCTGCACCTCAGTCTCAAACATATCTGCCCATTGTTTGCGTCTGGTCCAGTGATGTCCGGTGGCCTCTTGCTGACATCGCTGAATTCCTCTTCGACCAATGTCCGTCTGTGCCTGCCAACTTCTGCTCGGAGCCACTCGGCCTACTGGGCCTGCTGGGGCTGAGGTCCATGCACAAGAGCCCCGTGCCAGAACCTGAAACACTTTTTGTTTCGAAGGAAGTCCCAGACTTCACGAGCCCAATGCGAGGCCTCCAAAGATGACCCAACTGCATTGAGGCCAGGGGCCTCAATCACCAAATGCACGGAAGTGTCGCCACTGTACTCAGTCCTGCCACACACATTCTGGTGGCGGGGAAATCGCAGAAATTCGAGCCCTGTGCTGCCCGGCTGTTCGTAGTCACTTAGGCCTGGACCTTTCGCTCTCGGTCCTGGTGACAAGGCATTGCAGCGCTGTGCAGCACTAGTGCTGGTGGACCCGCAATGCTTTGCTTTCACTGTGTATCTTTTGCATCTTGGAGAGGAACGCGGACCTGCTGCTCGGGCCTACGGAGCCACAGGATGCGGCAGGTCCTCTGTGCGCTCCAAGTACTTGGACAAGCCTGTCCAAGACGGTCATACTATCTAGTCCGCTGACCCATTTGTCCTTTGAGGTGCTCACTTGCCAGTGGTTGCTTCGCGGAAATCTCCGCTGTCATTTTGGATGCCCTAGAACCTGTGCACCGTATGCGCTGAACTGGAATGGGGAACTTTGCCACAATGCCATGCAAACATATGCAAACCGTGGTAATCATGCATGGCCCATGGCCGGTTGAGTCGCCAGCGAAAGTTGTAGTTCAACCGGAAACCCAAAGTTGCCAGCTTCGAATTCTGCACGGTGCATAGCTGCACTCTTCACATAAGTAAGTTGCTGGCAGCATCTGACGTCAGCCGTAAGTGGCGGCGACTGGAAGCGGATGCTGCTGCTGAAGCCTCGCAGTCGGCGGCTTCAATCGGCTAATACTAGAGCTGCTCAGAAACTCAGATACTACTATACCACGGTACGAGTACCACGCTGAGTTTGCCTGCGGCATCTTCAATCGCCAGTGATGTCTGGATCTGCGGAGCTTCGGCAAAGCTCGGCATGCATAAGTCCTGGAAAGATCTGGAAGGTAGTCCAGCTGACGTGGCTTCAAGGATGGCAAAAAGAACGTCGGCCCGTCGGCCTTCTCCAGGCTTTTCAGCTTGTTTGAAGCAGCCTTCTGCGATGATCGAAATGTGCCGGTACCAACGCAGCGCAGTGGAGGATGGCCTTCATGAGTGTGGAAACGGAGTTGCGGTCAAAGTGGTGCCCACCTCCCGAGATGGAATTGGCATGACTGCGAGACCGTCTCTGTGCCCCCCCTCCCTCCTGCGTTGTTTTCGCCCCTGAACCCGTTGTTTGTTTGACCCCATCAATAAAGTAATTCAGGTGTAGCTTCGTGAAATCGGAGGGCAAATAATCAACATCTCTGTGGAATCTGCGGAATCTGTGAATATTGATTGTTGATTTGTGGCTTGAGGCCTTAAAGACCAATCCCGGATCAGCAGCACACGACGTCAAGCCAAGCAGCATAGTCTTAGCTCACCCAAAGCAAAGGCAAAGCCCATCCAAACCCAGTTCACAAATTTTTCACAGAGTCGGGACGTAGACTTGCCAGGAAAACAAAATTTTCACAGATTTGGGGCCAACGCACTTCCCTAACGGGTGTTATCCACAAGAACACCCCGGAACCTTTCCTTCAAGATTCAAGTTTCGGAAGCCGAAGAGTGTTCTATGCATCGTCATTTTCAACCAATGCTACCTTCAGGGGCATGCGACCGCGCGGACCCTGTGCAAATTATCTGATGCCAGCAAAAAACACGCCCCCACGCGGCTCCCATGCATCCTATGTAAAAAAGCATGTGGGGACCAAATGTGCACCGCATCCTGGACATGCGTCGGTAGAATGCACGGAGCCATTTCGGGCCAGCATAACTATCCGATAGTTTTTACCTTTACCTAGAATGGTAAGAAACTCTTACTAAACAAGACGAGACGTCGGACCCGTCTGCAAAAGGCAAAGGTCAGGAAAAGTCAAAGAAACGATGGGGTTGGAAACAAACTCTTTTGCAATGACTCGCAATGCAAAGCGCCTGGAAGTGCCCAGCTTCGCTTCGCCTCTGCGAGGAGACGGAGCGAAACTCTCAGAAGAGTCCGTTTCGCGTGCTCGGCTCCGCTCCTCGTCTGAGCCCCATTGCGGCATGCAGCCGCACACCTAAACCCAAAGAAAACCCAAGCGCCCAAGCGTCTGTGGCGCTGACACTTTCACGCCTGTGGATTCCTCTCCAGAGCTCTCAGCACAGACCATTCTGCACCTGCCAGCTGCTAGGCTTCTGACTTCTGAATCATCCATTCTACTTGACTTGATTGTCTAACATGGTCAACCCAGCTGACAACAAAGCCTGTCTGGGACCCTGCGATCACGCGGAGCAGCAGGCTTGCGAGGTCCTGAATGCAACGCAACTATCGCGCGGAGCTTCTCGACCATATCCGCGCTATCATGCCAAGTCCTGCTGGTTGTCCTTGTTCACCACCTGCACAGCTATAACACATCATGGGCACAGTGCACACTCAAACTCATTTCCACCGTCTGAATCTGATTCGTGTCAGATGAAATGGTTGCGGCATGCTGCAGCCTCCACGGATATGGTTCCGGTGAACAGTTCGTAGAGAAAAAACAAGGGGACATCGGCACATCCTCCACTGCAAACAGAGGAGGCAGTGGAAGTCTGCTTCCATGGCATTGGAAAAAACAGCGTCCGTGCCTCCGCGGATGCCCCCGAACAGATCATTCAGGAAACGCATGCCGTCGATACCCACCATGGCCGCAACCTTCGACGTGCAATGCTTTCATGGCTGTTGCGACCGTGGTACTTTTGAGTTTCCCGTCCGGGCAACAAGAACAAACACCATCCGATCGGGCACGCAAACGAGTGCAAGACTGTGGGAGCAAGCTGGCTTGAAAACCCTTGAAGACGAAGCCCCATCAAGGTGCCTGCTGCTCCGCCCTGTCTATCGCAATAACTTGTGCCATTGCGTGCCTGGCCTTGGGTCGATTGTAGGCCACACCTTTGGCGCTTGCTGCAATCCTTTGCTCGGGGCATCTCGGGGCACTTGTGCAGCCTCGCTAGGACCAAGGACGCGGCTTTTCGAAGAAGTTCAAGTCCTTCAAGAAGGACCTGCCAGATCAGTGCCGCCAAGGCCAGTGGAGGGCTTTCTTCAAGGGTCGGTTGGGGGGGTTGTCGTTTTACTCAGGAAGGGTAGGGGGACAGCAACAATAGCGGGAGGAGCGGTTGGGATGGGGGCGAGGGGGGAGAACAACAACTCCGCAACCCCGCCATCGGCTACATCTGCCAGATCCGGCTCATTCCCTTTTGGCGGCCAGCTTTTGGGAATCACACTTGCAGAATCCGTGTTTGCCAGTGACGAATTACAATCAATTACAGTTTCCAGGTTCGGCTTTGTGTCGAGCAATCACCCCATGCAAGATCCTGTGCTTCATGAAAATTCCTTTTTCGAGCCGAATGAGGAGTTAAGTTGGGGGGTCCTATCCCGCGAGTGTGGCATGAGAATCTGCACAGTCCTGTTATGCATCAAGCTTTCAGGTATGAGTCATACGGTATGACGGTATGAGGTATCGTTTGCAACTTGCACGGTTTTTTGATCTGAGGGAATCTGTTTTTGACCCAGGGCTTCATGGAATGCGAAAGTCTTGTTGAGGGTTTGTGGACACGGAATATGATATGGTATCCACACAGGCACATATTCACGTTCAGAAGATCAAAGCGAAATGAACCCGCTCAAAATGCCTATCCACCACGCGGTCGAATCCGGAATCGTCAGCCAGTGGGCCCAAGTCGACTGGCAGGTGGACCTGAGCCAGCATCGCTAGGACTCTGCCCGGGACTGTTCGCAAAAGCCCTGCATGCTGGGGCAGCAGTGATGCTGAAAGGCATTTGTGGCGTAATGTAGCTACACATGATGGCACCACTGCACTTGCGACAATTGTCAGTGGCAACTCAGTAGCATTCCGATACCAGCATAACTCCAGCATAGCAGGGATCTGCTGCTTTGATGCCTGGTGTCTGGTCATGCTTCAGTCTCGCCATGCTTCCGTTCATCTCGGCTGCATTTGCTTTTCCGTGTCCAGTGTCACACGTGAACTGAATCTTCCCACTCAATTGCGCTGATGTGCCATCGTCGGTGGCTTACGAATAATTCATTGATGCAGCTGCGCTTCTCTCGTCGACAGATGCCGCAGCATCCGCCGCAGTGGCAGCTACAAGTAGCTGCTGAACCAGCCGACGCCGCTACAAGATTTGCTTGGTTGTCTCGGGCTCCTTGCCACTGCGACATGTTTTTCGGCTGCCGACTTGCTGCCGACGCGACATACATTCGATGCTCAAACCCAGCAGCCACTGGAAGATGTGCACGTGCTGAAGCACCACTTCATCACACAACCGTCGAATCTCGGCTTTGGAACACAGGCATCGGCTTTGCCCTCTTTGCAGGCTGCCAAAGCCTGCACTGTGGATTGATATGCCTCGGCCGTGGAGAAATATGGAAAAAACATGTGGGGCAACATCACGAGAGAGCGTATGGCACCACCTGCCTTCAGCTTGGAAAACTTCTTGGAGTGTCGGACCTGCTTCTGCTCAGATGCTATGTTCTTTGTATCAGGTTTGTGTTGCAATCAACGCCGAGCTGCCTCATCCAACTTCAGAACTGACAGCTCCTAAGACTCGGGCTGCCGTGCTTTGGACATGCTAGCACACAGGTTACCAGGCCTGCTTCAGTGACAAAGCGCAAGAAGTCGAAACCAAATGTCGTTTCCTGGGACACTTCTCGGCATGTCGCTGCCGCACCAAGACGCTCCTGCCTCGTATATTCCAGAAACTGTCCCGCTGTACTCCACGGTAGCCTGGCTCGAGACAACAATCCGTCGAGCCTCTCCTGCGCAGCATAAGATTCTGAGCAGTATCGCGAACATTCGAGTGTACATACAAAGCACGAAATTGGAACACCGCTCACTCTTACCTTATTAGACTACAGTGTCTAACAAGTCAGCCGGGCGATACAGCATAGGGTGAAATCGCCTGGCAGTGACACGCAAGACTTGGACTCGTGCCAGGGATAGGTTGCAGCTTGACCAAGCAAGTCGTGCTGGCTGGGCCATTGAAAGGTGAAGGCGGCAAGCAATAGCATCCGCGTGGCAGTCAGCTTCCAGAGCTTTCATAGCATCCCACAGCTGCTTTTCCTGCCGTACGGGTATGTGCCGAGTACTGGATCGTGCTGACGTGAAAGCGCACTGCGGAGCTGGCAGAGGCCTCTTCGGTGCAGGCTTCAGTGATCGTTTCAGCCATGCTGACAGCCTTGAAGTTCGGGGGTCGGGGGTCATTTAGAACTTCCTTTGGCTCTGGCAGGCTGGCCTCGGCAAAGTGCCATGTCATAAAGCGACCTCGTCTGGCTACTTTGGCAGGTTCTCACACACACGAGAAAAAGCTTCTTGACAAGGGCGGGGCAAAGCAAGAAGTACAAACCTGCCAGGCACGAGGCAGCGCGACCAGCAACCCATCAACAAATTGCGAACTCGCGAATGCACGGTTGAGCTAGCTCCGTCTCATACCTCTGACTCAACCAAACCAGAAAACCAGAAGGCCACGAGCCAGCAGAACCGGCAGCAAGTGTTGGCGTGAAGATAAACATCTGCGAGAAATGCACGTCGTACCTGCGAAAACAAGGCGGAGCCACTTCAAACTTCGACGCGAAGGCTTGAATGTTGACCACTAACCACGGCCTGTAGTGCCGAGGACCATCCAAATTCTGCAACCATTCCTGGAGCTGGACCCTCATAGGAAACGACCATGGGCCCAAGTACTATCCAGCACTGTCGTTGGAGAAAATACCCAAGATAACTGAACCCCAAACTCTTCCTCGCGGCCGCGGCGGAACCTGACCAGCAAGTCTCTGCGTCATCTAGGAGACATTCGTTGTTGGGAGCACATGGTGTTTGAAGCTCGTTTGCTCCTGCTGCGTGCTACGGTCAAACTTGTCCCTGCACTCTTTCAGCGAGCAGCGCAAGCTGCCCTGGTAGGAGCTTCTCGGGAGTTCCATCCGCAGCCCATGTCGACGGACGCACCTCGACATGACACGGCACTGGCTATGCCGTGATGTACTCGTGACCGTGTCAACAAGTATCTTGCTCTGCGATGTAAGCTGCTTACTGGCTGCGCAGCAGCAGATACCAAGATGGCATACTCACCAGAATCGTTTTCCAAAAGTAAGGTGCCACCACCAAACCTCGCTGCCGACACACAGAGACACACACACGCAGAGAGACGGAAGCACGGAGACTGAAGGCTTATTGCAAAAGTTAGGCTTCCAACTGCTGCAGGAGCCTGCAAACCTGGAGCTTACGAACGAAACCGCTATTTGGTCAACACAGCGATGCCACGAGCCAAACCTTGTTCGACCATTTGCACTCAGCCAACCAGAAGCCACCTTGCGACGATGCCATGCACTTCTGAACATGCCACTTGTTTGAGATGGCAGTTTAATATCAACGATAACCAGTCAATTCGTGGACAGGCCCAAACTGTGCTGTTCGCAGTGGAGGTGGCCGCCACGCTCCTGATAGCGCCAGGCAGAATACGGCTATCGACTATCGAGGTCTGCATCTGTGCTGCGGCCGTCCTGAAACGAAAGCCACAGCCTTGGAAACTCAACCCGACGCACGCGATCGCCTGCATGCTGCCCACAGCGCAACGATTTGACCACGGCTAGATTCTAGACTTGCTAGGCCTTCCTCAGAACTCCAGGCGAGAATGTGTGAGAGGTCCTGCGAGAATGAACTGAAGGCCTCAACGCTGAAAGACATGCGACTCAGCCTCGATTCGGGCCAAGAGAGATGCAAACTTCAACGAGGAGCTGTGGCGAAGATTCACCAGAACCTCTCGCAAGGTAACAGATGCAACGGCATCATGCTGTCAAGCGTGCTCAATCGCCTCGGCAGCTTTTGAGTCATCAGTGTCCCACGAATGGTACGGACCTAGAAGGCATTGGCCGGAAGTTTGAGATTTGGGAGCAAGGGACCCAGCCGCCTGGCGAGGGCTTCAAGCACACTCTTCGCACAGTGGCACTGACTCCCATCTTGCCGCGGCACAAGGTCACCTCTGCTGCCGTGCAGAGCAGGGTGGCGGAGTTGCTGCGATTATGGGGCGCGCCTGGAGCCGCGTTGGGCCATCGCACGGCTGTAGCTCGTCACCTGTGAGACAGCCTCTCGGAGGAACGGCTATCGAAACCGGGGTGCAGCCGCTGTCGGGTGTTCGAGAGGCCAAACCGCACCAGACCTGCGCTGTCTGGAGCTCCGTCCGAGCGCCAAAAGCTGTAGCGCCTCTTCATGACCCCCACAAAGGTTCCACAAGAATGGACATGCGTCAAGGTTCCGATATGTTCAAATTCCATTGAGTTTCTGGCTCCAGCAAAGCGCTGGGCACCAAGCCACGCAAGAAGCGAGATGGCATCTGTCAGCAAAGCACACCACGGAATGTGCAGAAACCGAGCTTGCAGGCAAGCGACGAAAAGCTGCCGACCGAGGTTTGCAACCACTTGCCGATAGATCAGGATACTCGGTACAGGCCTGTCAGGTTCTGTTTCGACTGTGTCAGACTCTCTCAGGCCAACAAGGGCGGGACGGATGGAGCTTGTCCAAACTTCCCGTCGCGAGGCTCCAGCTTGCGGTCCTGAGCTACTTTGCTGAACACCACAGGAAAAAACAAGAAACCTGGGCACCAGTCTCTTTCCGGTATAGAGGCACTTCACCATCCTGACAAACGTTCACAAGAATGCTTCCGCAGTCCACAAGTTGTGGTGTCATGGACAGGTGGCCCTGCCTTTTGCAGAGAATATGGGTTGGACAACTCGAGCACTAAAAGGATTTGGGGTTTCGCCAAAACATGGCGACATTGATTCACACTTTACACTAAGCCCGGCTTCAGCCGGCCGCATCTGCAGCATGCGTGGTTCACGATTTCGGGACACATCCAATCGCCTGTGTTTTGAAGGATATTGACATATATTGACATACAACAAATACTCCTGCACAGGCAATGCACAACAGCTGCATGCAGAGCTCATGTCCTGCGGCACGCAGAAGCTCCATCTGCTGTCCTTTCCGCACACATCGAGAGACAGTGCGGCATTCATCTTATGCAAGCCCGAGCCTTGCAAGACTCCTTTCGTGATATATGCATAGCACTCTCGAACTTTTGTCTGCCAGTTTCTCCATCTTGAGCTACCACGGTTTACAAAGACATGAGAGCTGTCCGAACAAAAGGCCAAGGACCGGTAAAATTGACGTCCGTACCTGTGCCCATATGAAGCAGTGCGCATGCAGTCTGGCACTCATCATGTCGTGCAAGCGAGCAAGCTGGACTCAACGATGTCGTAAACCTCGCTTTCAAGGCACGCGCAAAAATCTCTGTGGTCTTGTGCCCTAAGTGACGACTCGCCTCTGCAACAGGCGGATCCCGTGAAGCCAAGACCTCCACATGCGTCCCACTGTGGATTCATGTCGTCATGTGTCTTTCAAATAAACGCATGCAAAGGCTACGAGGCTCATGCCGACGTAAAGAGACATTGCTCTGATGTCTCCTGCCCTTGACTCAGCCACGAGCATCTACATCCACAAAATGACAACGAGGGCGATGGTCATGACTTCCACGGCATAGCTCCGTTATGTTCCATTCCCTCCCACCTGGCCCCAACATTTAAGATAGGTCAGATAGTTCCACAGACTTCGACCCCAGTCAGAACAACGGAACCTCCCGCGTACAAATCATGGGACGAGTCGAGTGCTACACTTCGCTCCGCACTCCGCACAAAGCAGCTACATGCCCTAACTTCTCGCCGGGACCACAGGAGCCTTACGCGCCTGGCCTCTTTGAGCTGACGCGTCGACTCCTGCTCAGTGCAAGGTTCAGGCTACAAGCCAACACTTCAAGTTGCAGGCCTCCAAGACCAAACCCCACATGCGGCTTTGCAATCTATTCAGTGCACTTGCATCCGTTGCACACGCCCTTGCGCAATATCATTATGCTCGGTCGCTGCTATGTCAGGAGTCGGCTTCACCTGTTCTTGGGGTCGTTGCGAAGATCTGCACGCGCACGGTGCCTCCACCTGCACCACCAATATCAAACGCGCCTCATCGGACCTGCACTCTTCGAGAGGCAGAAGCACGGATCGCATGACAACGGACAAACTTTCTGAGCGAGATGCGACAACTCTTGAATATGTAATCGTCCTGGAAGACATCCGTTCTGGTTGCAGGCTACATCACATGCCATCTGCTGGGTCCAAGTTCGATGCCAGAGATGCGCAGCGGCGAGAGAATGTGTGCCAGCCTGAAGACAACAACGTAGGAACCCATCACAGCCAGATCCATGAGGAGGCGAAGCAGAAGCATGATGACACAACGGCTTCTTTGGGACCTCCTGCATTGGATACACGCCTTCGGGTTGCACCCTTACGTCGGGAGGATTTGGGAAGGGCCGCCCTGTTTTGTTTTAATGCTTACTCGACTCGCCGATGGAAAGGATGATGTTGGGCTTCAGAACAACATCCCTGGAAGCCCATTGGCAAAAGTACGATTCTCAGCATTTTACTATTGGGTTCAGGGGAGTGTCGCAGTCACAAACCTCCTTGGCTCGTGGCCGACTCACCGTCGACAGCAGATCTAACTCGTCAAAGCTCTGTCTCTTAGCACCTGTCTCCAAAATCTCGACATCATTATCGCTTCTCCCACCTGGTTAAAAGGCTAGTTGGACGCGAGTTTCCGTCGCCGTCGTCTGTATGCTCATCATGATCGCGTGCTTCCCTCGCTCTCACTTCCTTCCTGTTCTCTTCTGCTACCCGCGGCAGCGTTCCACAGTCGCCGACCTATTCCGGCAACGTTTCTCGCCAGTGTCCCGAGCAAAGGTTCGCTTGCACGTGTCTGCCCTGCCCGCCTCTCGATCCGGGGTTCACGCTCCGACATTGGCCTTGAGGCATCCCACGTTGCCACACACCCAGCGCATTTAAACCTCACGCACACGTCGGGCAGGAACGCGAGCGGTGCCACTGCTCCAGTATCTCCAGAAAGTGTATGCAATGCCAAGTCGGAAGTTGACCAATGTCATGTCTGATGGTGCTGGAAGAGACCACGTTGCGATCCACCCTCTCGCTTCAACCAGCTTGAAGGAAGTAAGCCGTTTTTGGTCACGGAGCAACCGGTATTCAGCAGGAAGCGGAAAACGGATGCAAGAGGGGGGCGACAGAAAGACAAAGTGCGCAAAGTAAGGAGGCAGGCTCCGGCAAACCTTTCAGACCGTGTAAACGAAGACGACCGCGCAGTGAAAGGCCTCGAGGTGAAGCCAGGATGCATGTCGTCAGCTGTGAGCCACACAGAAACACCTTCAGTCTGGGATCAACTCCTCCAATCACCGTCAAGCAGCCGTGAAGGTTTGAACGGACAAACGCTTCAAGCCTTGCAAACAAAGGGCAGGCACAGTGAGGCTTCAGAAACGGGACAAGAGTGTTCTTGGGGTGCACAGCTTCGGCCTACGCATCCTGAATCCTGGCTTGGACTACAGTTTCAATTGCAATGCGTATGCAATGTGGCACGGAATGCAGGGATGTGCAGGGCTATGCAGGGATGCAGGAGAAGAGCGGCACAGGCGAGAGCAGCATTTCACGACAAATGGCGCCGTGTGGAAACGGTGGTTCTTCGGCCTGAAGTCCGTTTGCGTGGAGTGCTCTACCTCTCGCTACCCCTTGCCCATGCAGTGTCCATGTTCATAGATTCCATGGATGTTCATGGCTTGTGCACACCGACTTGCAAGAATCCTGCTGCATGGACAGCACTGGAGCATTCTGCAAACGAAGCCCAAAAGGCTCCAGCCACTTCTCGTTGTCCGCTAGCTTGGCCGGTTCAAACCTTTTATTGATGGTTCACGAAACTGTTCACACAGCCGAACCAGCCTTTTTCTCGGACAGCAGCTGCTAAGAGCGCGGCAGGCGTCCACTCAACCTGTCGGGAAGACGTCACCGCAGAATGCCACGCTCACATGATAACCGCTAACATGCTTGGTGCTCTGCGAACTGTGTGGATCGTCTTCAAGCTTTCGAGTATCCGTCTCCCATCCTGGTCATTCAAGCATCTTGCAGGACGTTCTCGTCCGCACAGGCAGGTACTCAATCTTGCGCACTCTTCCTTCTGGCATACTGTGCTCTTCTCTTCAACTTCTCTTCGGTTCCTACTTTCCAGAGGTGAAGACTTCGGCCGCACAGGCGGCCAAAAGCAACTGCAAACTGCAAATGCCTGCTCAAATTTGACGCGATGTAGTGGGATTCTGAGCTTGGCCTCATGCTGAGTACTCATGTAGAATTGGTACGATGGGCTGATCAGCCGTGGAATAAGCCTGTTCGTCTCCGTTAGACAACCAGCTTTGTTCACAGGGTTGCCTGTCTGCTGCAAATACTGCCAGAATCTTCGGTCGCAGGATGCGCACGCCCCCGACCCCACTGCCAGCCATCCCTCATTCTACAAAAGCTTTGTTCGAGTCTTGTCTCCATCGTCACTCATTCCACGGACTCCGACCACATGTGCGAATAGTGTTCAAGTTGTCGACATGCTGAGGAATCTGATTATCTTCTGGTTTGAGGTGAGTCATTGAAGGTGTCGTTCCGAAAGCTCCGTGGCTCCGTCCAGTGGCATGAACTATGGACCATGCAGGATGGGTGTCACGGTAGGCTGCAATTGCCAATGGCCGCTTCCAGCGCACTGGGTGTTTGGGTCAACTCCCCTCAACTTGAGGCTGATACAAGCGGCACAAGCATGAGCACCAAGTAATAAACTCCTGTGGTAGTTCTTCTGGATTCTTCCGGTGAAATGCAAAAACTTTTGTTTGGTTGCTGGCAGGAGGTAGGTGTCCTGTCTTGATGTTTGGGAATCAGAAGACAAGGGGTCGTTTTGTTTTTCTTCTGGACAACGACAATCTTGCTCGAAGGGATCCGGGTCAGCTCCCCGTCTCCCCGTCGACCACGACGCACTTCCCTGAAGTTTAACATAGAGCCGAGGCTCTCTGAAGGTCATGGTGGTGGCCGACAATCCGCTTCCATGTCCGGTGTGCCGACACCTGCGACGAAACGCTGGGATCACAGCAGCTTTGTTCGCCAAGCTGAACTGGGAATTGCAGTGTCCTCTATGTCAGAGCAGTGTACATCGGCACGCCCGAAAGCATCTTGAAAGTCCTGCATGCACCGGCACTACACTGCTGTGGTGTTTCCTCGATTTCTGCGAGGACAGCCGCTAGACGGGCATCTCTCCTTGTTCTCAACGGCCCACTCGGGTATCAAAGACATCCCCTGACCCTTTACCTGCCAATGTCCGGCCAGCAAGCCCATGCAGTCATTCTGGGAGCTTTCCAAGCCTTGTAGCGTCCCAGATTGACAGAAATCTGGCCACTGCTCTCCTTCGGCCCATTCCTGCCCAGGCGCATGATTCACAGGAACTTATTACCATGTAGTAGCTTCTTCCTGGGGTCGGGACGTCACTCGAGTCAGCCAGCTCTGGAAATCTTCTCCAGGCTTTGGCTGGCGCCACTCCGGCTTCGGCTCTGCAACCTAACCCCGCAAGGCCCTTTCAAGTTCAACTTCTCTTGTGCGGTTTGATAGCCTTGGGAACGTAGTCTCCTGGTTCAGCCGGAAGCTCGACCTCACAGCTGCAATGTGTAGACACATCCGGAGAGCGTGAAGAACTCGCCAAGGCATTCACCCATTCCATTTCCTGCGAGATCATGTGCGTATGTAGTTGCCAGACATTCCCTCGTGCGTACTTTCCAGCTTGCACGGCACAGAGCCTGGAAGTCTTCACCGACGTCTAAGCCATCGATGGTGCCTTCGCACGAAGGATTATGGAGACAGTGCTGTCTTACAGCCTAGCATCATTCAGCATTCAGCATTGCCTCTGAACGTTGCCACCCATTCAACCTCGAGGCTGGGAAGCCCGGTCCCGAAAAGCACAGAACGGGACCCCAAATCCATGCTGTAACGGACTGGTGGTACAAAAGCCCAAAATACTGGGAGAAACTGTTGGAGGGGTGGGACACTCATAGCAACTTGTGTCCCTGCGTTGAGCCACGGACTCTTTGCAGAACATGGTCGGCCTCAGAGCAAACACTGAGCAAACCGAGCATTCCCGGATGTGGCAGTGCCAGTGCCTGACGCGTCACTGAGGTCGTGGCATCGGATTTGTGTTCACGCAGCCACTTTGCTAGCACGCTGCGTCGGCCTGCAATTGCCCTACGAATTCACCTTGTCAGTGTGAAATGTTACGCACGAAGAAGCAGTGCTTCGTCGGAAGACAGGCCTTCGAAAACGTCGAAAAGTTCGAATTCGCAAATACCGAGCCTGGACATGCTTCCGATAGGTCCGTGGTCGCTTGCGTAGGCTCTTCAACGTAAGCGGCAGCCCGCATAAATTGGCGAAAGCATGCGGCAGGCATGTAGGGATCCGTGGAAACTCGATCTGAGGCGACTGCTTCGGAGTTGATGCGCCTGAAGGGGCTGCATTACGACAGCAGACCACCGCACAAGAGCATAGTTTGTGAATTGTTTGAAAAGGCGTAATTACTTGGACTCCTGCTGTCCTTTTTCGTAAACCACCTGCGCAAACAATGTGGGCACCCCCCGGGTGGGCGCGGCACATCGCACGCGGGCCTGTGGTTCACGTTGAGGAAAGCCTGCTCGACTCTAACGGCCGGTTTAAGATGCGCAGTGAACCGTCCCTTGCCTGAGCAGACAAGAAAATTGCGGCACTTCGGCTTGTGAACTCCAACCTGGACTTGAGATTCATGCTGTAAGAAACAGACATTGACACATTGACTGCAGATGACTGCGGAGTGCTTCAAGACAGTCTGCGAGTCCGGCCCATTCGTGCCGTAGATCAGTGCGAGGTGGGCATGGGCCCGGCAGCCGGAGACCTCCAAACGACAGCGACAGCGCCGTCGCAGCCGCTGCCTCTGCGGCAGTGACCAGCAAATCCTCCTTCTTCTTTGCCGCCACCTGCGCAGAGCACAAAGGAGGGCATGCAGCAATGCACGACATGCACTATAAAAACCCACAGCTTTTTGTCCTTGGCCCAGTACAGCAGCATGTCGGTGACCTCCCGTGCAAATCAGCAGTCACCAGAACTGTGAGCACAAGTGCTTAAGCGTGCTTTATTTGTAAATCGTGGTGACGCCTTGCCCTCCAGCACGTCTCGAAGTTCAGAATGAAGTCCTTGGAGCCAACTCCTGGTTCCGCAGAGCCGCAGCAAAGCGCTGCCAAGATTGCTTCGAACCTTCCAAGAGCGCCCGCCGAGGCTACGACAGGATCTCCTGGCCCTTGTCTTCAGTCGGCAGCCCTCGCACCTGGGCCACTCTTGTCAGCCGTCAGCATCTTGAGAGACTCTCTGTGCCTTCGCCTCCCAGTGGGCACCAGCCCTTTCCAAGTAAGCTCCAGTCCTCTTACATCTGCTTCATGTCGCTGCGTAAGGACACAAGAGACACAAGCATACACAAGCCAAGTCCTGGCGTGCTGCACGAGGAAAAGCAAATACGCTTGCACACCTGCGGTGTTCCGGCTGCAGGCTTCTTGAACTCCAGCATTGCATATCGACAACGCTGAGCCAGACGCGAGTGGCAAGCCGCACCAAATAGAGGATAAGCCCCTGGTGATGTGGCATAGTTGCCCTCAGCCGAACAACCCCCTGCGAAGGACCTCATTCGCACTGCCCGGGTGGCCAGGATCTTTTTCCACGGCGACCTTGCTGCACGAAGTCAACATGACCATGATTTATTCAAGCACGCGCTCGGTGCTCTTGCCTGCTTATCCTGCTTGTTTATTGAAGCAGTCTACAGCTAATGCCTGCCCCTCACACCGTCAGAAACTATGTAGGGGCCGATCACCCTCCCCTTTTACATATGCTTTGAGCGGGGCATCAACAGGAGAAGCCACTCCCTCACAGGCCAAAATGCTGGCTCGGGGCTTCGGCGCTTCTTGACATGGCTTGCACATCCGAATGCAATGATGGCTTTCTGCAATCATTATCTTTGCGAAACTAAGCACTTCGAGCTCACGACATCCAATAGCAAGCGGATCGTGTCCAGCAACACCTGATTCAAGTCAAGCATTGTGAGCCTTTCCGAGTTCGTAGACATGGACAGGAGCTCGCTTCAGCACAAAGATGACCTCTCCGCACTTAGCCACTGTACGTGGCCGCGTGGCTGGAAGGTTTCAAGCTTCCAGAAATGAGCTTGCTGCCTATCCACTTGCAGTTTTTCGAGGTAGAACTTGCTAATGGAATAGCAACCGGCGCTCCGTCTGCGACTCTGGGCTTGAATACGTTCCGTGTACTGCAGCACGTCACATGGGGCCGACGTTTTCTGAGGTGTGGTCTCTTGGTGAGCGCAGGAGCTCGTTGAAAAGTAGCCTGAGATTCGAAGAAGGCAGCTGATGTTCACGTGGGAGGCTCTGTTCAGTGTCACTGGGGCTTCGGCCCTGCCGGCGTGGCCAGGTGATTTCGGTCCGGTGCAGGCACAGCACTCGGCGGTCCCGTAACTGCTGCCTCGGCCATGGGCCACGGCAGGTGGCCCTCTTTTCTCTAGTTCCGCCCTCGTGACACGGCCTGCTTACTTTGCCATTGTCCAGGCTCGAACAATGCAGCATCCAGCACTGCCTGCGCCGGTGCAAAGCAAAGTCAGGGGAGGCAGTGCAGGAGAGATGCGAGTGATTAGGAACCGGGAAGTGCAGTGTTCTGCCGGACGACTTGTCGAGAGGTCGAAAATGCAGCGGAACGCGGACGCGGCGACGCATCGACATGGAACTCTCAGCGTGTCTCAGCTGCTTGCCTGTAAAAGAGGCTCACGAAGCAGTGACACTCGCTCACGGTCGGCGAAGAATCCCAGTAGCAGCGGCACACGGATGTACGGTGCGGTGAGGTACCTGCAGTTGCCACCATGTCACCATGGAGTACCAGTACTGTGTCAGGAAGCCCCTCCCACTCAGCGACTCAGCGCACGTCAGCAGCAGCTCACTGTCGGCCGGCTTCAGGGTCCTCAAGCAGATCACATGAGAGTCTGCAGGACTCTGAGGCCGTGGACTTGTCGGACCTGACAAACCAGAAAGGCACCTCCATGAATGAGGCTACACAGCCTCTCACACCCGGAACAGAACTAATTAGAAAAATGGGGCATTGGAAGCTGGCCTCCTGATGCTGGGCCCCCCGCTCATTAAAGTCTGGCGTATGTTCCAGGAAAAGCACATCGTCCTGGCAGATCTGAACACAACAGTGCAGAAGTCGGCTCCAGCAGCGGCTCCTCTGTATCGATCTTGGAGCCAGCCAACACGCTCGCATCTGCGGCGCTAACTGCCTGCAAACATCTGAAGGCTATTATTGGCGCCGAGGGGCGGACATCAGTGGAAGTCCAGCCTTGCTTCGGGACTTGTACTTGCCGAAAAGCCAGTCGAAGGGTTTCTTGATCTCAGATGCAGCGTCCCTTGCCGATTGTCACCACATAGTGCCGGCACACTCAGACTGGAACCACCTCGCCGATACCTTTCTTGCCCTCGGAGAGTTGAATACCGATTCAGCAAACGTGAAGTTGGAAGACAAGCTCTGAGCAGTCTGATCTCGTGTTCGAGTCGGGGCGCTACAGCAGCAAGCGCAGATGTTGCAACCCCAGCCCCGTCTCAACGGGGATCCAACGCGATTGTTAAAACAGGTTCTGGACTTCCCCTGCTCTTGTGTGCTGTTTGGTGTTGCTCATGCTCCCCAAACGACGTATCCACCCGGCGCGCTTGTCCTTGCACGTTGTGTTCATGTCACATATCCAAGCGAGCCTCTACGCTGGGTGTGTCCAAGTTCAGCACAACGCTGTGGTCGTGGCTATTGACGTCTGAGATACGCTGGAGTGCTCGCTTATGCTCGCTTGGAAAGCACCGTATTAGGAAAAACTGTCGTCTTGAACAAGCGACGAACGAACCACGACTGGACAGGAACCGAAGGAGCTCTCATGAATGATCCTACAAAGTGCGGAAGTGAAGTCTACCTCTTTCTGCATGTGACGTGTTTCGGAGCATTTCCACATGATTTCCTGGTTGAGGTTTCGAACCCACGGAAATTGGCTTTATGTCTGATGTCTGGACATCTGGTCTCGAGTGCAAGTATCGAATAACCAAGCTGAGTTAGCATAAGAACGAACGCGGGGGGAGAACAGCTTACCATTTATATGGCCGCAAATTCATTCAGAATTCTCCAAGCCTCCTCCGGCACCAACTCCATGTTGAACCCGCGGACCACGAAGCGATCCTAGACTGCTCTAGGTCACTTGGCCATCTTGCCAATCGCTGTGGGGGGAAGGTTGCCGGAATCATGTCCTTGTGCCATGACCACTGCAGGATGGAGTCGGTGGCCTCGCGACAAACTAGGAAAGAGCTCCTTCCTACCAATGTCGCGACCTCAAAGACATCAAAAGGCCTGCTGTTGATTTGGCACTTGAGTTTCTTACTGTCATTCTGTTGAGCATCGAACCCGCCAAGTGCCCTCTGGAGGCCCACTTCCGCTGGGTAGGATCAGCATCTTCCACAAGAACACGACGTCCCGAAACCTTGCGAATTCAATCTCGGGCTCACGCAGGCCACCGTGACTAAAGTCTAAAATCTACAGCTTTTTGCAAGCTTCACTGGCCTGCCACAGCAGCACTACTAGTGCCATGTTCCCAGGACCCACCTCCAGCCATGACCATTGAAAAGGCCATACCCTGCGATGGGACGTTGCCGATGCAAGTGTGGTACCGTCCCCTCAGTGCAACGGCAGGATATGGCAACCGACTCCAGGCGCGAAGCACGCAGTTGGATGAGAATCTGCCAATCAGCAGCGATGGACCGGAGACAAGAAGAGATAAATAAGGGTGTCAAGGTTTGATGCTGTGCTTGAGGCACGCCAATGCTATTCGGAGAGCGGCCATCAACACAGAGATCGCGTGCAGTTCATGCAGCAATGAACGATTGGCCGTACAGCAATCGCACGAGACATGCGGACGGACTGGGAGGTACTGGAGTTTTGAGTATCGGCTTCTCGTTCCCCCGACCTAGTAACTTGCACCAGTGCCTCAAGCAAATGCTCCATGCTTCTTGACAGGCTTCGTCACTCTCAATTTATTGTCAATATTGGACATTTCGGTCCTCAGCAACGGACTCTGGCCAAGAATCGACAAGCATTGCGGCGGTGCTTCCAGAACGGCATTCCGGCTGCTGTTTCTGACAACTGCTTGAAGGTTGTGAACAGCTCTCCTAGATGCATGCCGCTGATGGAGGGCGAAGGGTACAGCAACCTACACAACGCTCAGCCCCCCCTCCAAAGAATCAATAACTTGAGCAGATGTTGTCTGGTTGGACCAGCCACATTTTCTCTATTCATGCATTGCTCCTACGACTGCTGTACGGCCAATCATTCATTGCTGCAGGAACTGCACGCGATCTCTGTGTTGATGGCCGCTTTCCAAATAGCGTGGGCGTGCCTCGAGCGCAGCATCAAACCTTGACACCCTTATCCCTTCTTGTCTCCGGTCTATCGCTGTTGATTGGCAGATTCTCATCCAACTGCATGCTTCGCGGCTGGAGTCGGTTGCCACATCCTGCCGTTGCACTGAGAGGACGCTACCAAAGTTTCGTTGGCACCGTCCCATCGCACGGAAGGCACAATGTGAAGGGCTGCCGCATCGCAGGGATGGCCTTCTCATTGGCCATAGCTGGAGGTGACCCCTGACAACACGGCAGTAATGCGACAGTCTTTGCTTTGGGACGGCGTCCTTTGCTTAGTTGGAAGACGAAACGCAATGGCGGTGCTACTCCTTTTTCCAACTGACTCAAGGGCAGACGTCACAGTCAAATATACAATGGAGCTACGCTGCACATTAGTACTTTACAACGCATGCGGCCAGGTGACGCTGTACAAAAACGAGCAGTTCTTCATACCCGACTTATCATGACTTATCTACTGGCACATGCGTGGTGCCTGACTGTATGTATACACACATGCAAGTGACACAATACGACCGCTACGACGCTCGTTCAACTGACCTCGCCATTGACTTCGCGATTCTTCTTGACCTTCTGGTTTGACAAGACCATGCGGCCAGTCCTCATGAGCTCGAAGACCTGCATGCTGTTGGTGAGGCAATCCGCCACTTGACTCCCGGTGTCTGTCCACCGTAGCCGGTCTCCGTAAACCTGGAGAGCTTCCACGTCGGAACATCATCACGCCACAATTGCTGGCGCATGGACATGAGTTCGATGCCTAACCTTTTGTCGGCGACTTTCCTTTCCTGAACCGAGTTCAGGTGATCACTCGACGATCCGCAGTGCGTCACCCATAAATGGCACATCGCTTGCTGGGACGACTCAAGCCAAATGGACATGCTTAGCATCAGACCTTTAAGCTTACATATGATCGCACGGATTTTGTCGCCGCTTTCCACAGCTGACTATGCTGTACGTCTCAGCCTGCATGGTGCTCCTACAGACCCTTTCGATCGTGGTTGAAGAGTACCCAATCACATGGACCAAGTTTTCGTTTGTGCCGATTGTGTTCTCGCTTGCGAATGACGCGTCCGAGAAGCTCATCACACAGACATCATGCCAGGAAAATGCGCCTGCCGCCTGCTGCAAAATGCAATGGCGCAGACTGATCCGCATGGGCCATGTCAGCCATGCACCCGATTCGCATCCCGCAAATCTGACACCTTTGCCTTCGGACATCTCCTCTGAAGGCAATTCACACGGTAGCACTGTTCGTCCACGGACCTCAAACTTGTGACCTCCTGAGGTGTGGCATCATCTGCGGCCTTTCGGGTTGGATCTACACTGATGTGTCGCACTTGTCACTTGCCTTGTGTTATCCTCTGCGTCGATGGTGACATCGAAGTTCTCCGACTGCCTGAAGCGCCTACCGCAAAATCGGAAATCGGTATGTTCGATTTTGCCAACGTCGAACTTCCCCAATATCCTATCCATGGTGCTCTGTCCTTCTTCAATCGCGCACCAAGGTAGGTCATCCACGTGAGTGGCGAGCAACACTGCGGGTGGGCCATCTGGCCCTGGCAGATAGTACAACCCTGTTGCCAACCGTGACAATTTTCAATCCCTCTTCGACGTTTGCATTCCTCAGCAGCCTCGTCCACATCGTGCCATAGATAGGCTATCTACAGAGGAGCATCGCGGAGGGGTCAACACCTGCCAATCCACCTGCCGGCTGCTTCATCAAGAGGACTCGCTCCAGCGGCTGACTTTGGAAATAAGCCGGGGAAATGTCCCTGGAGAACAAACACAGCTTCCTGCTTGCCGCGTAATTTGCAACAAGGCAGTGTGCCTCCGCTGTTGGTGCATCACACCTCAACTCATTCCGGTCTACACCTTCGTAGTTTCCGCAACTCACCAAGCGACTCCGGAACTTTGGACTGTATCCCTCCTTTCCTTTCATGTGTTCATGCTTGTCGACACCTGCCCGCTGCCATGGTATTGGCTTGTTGCCTTCTCGCAACAAGTCTTCCAGGAGCTGTCCACTGATGGGCACAGCAGCGTTGTACTGCTGATACTTCTCCCACTCGGTTTCCTTCAGGTTCTTCAATGTGACTTTCCTACTGCGATGTTGGGTCACCCCCTGCTTGCTTAGCGCTCTCACGCTCTCCTTTCTCACTCCCAACAATGCTGGTGATGTGCTCCGGCTCTGGGTAGACACCTATGCTGCCTATGCTTTACAGAAATGGTGTCTTCGTTTCATCCAAAATTGGAACCGTGAAGCAAGCGATGGCAAACCTTTCGCCTCTCGTTTCGACCACGCCATGCTTGACCTTCCCATCGAATTGAATCAACCCGCCACCGGTCCGTGTTTTCACCCTTTCGATAGGTCCTTCATCTGCATCCCACGTTGATGCTCTAGCCGTATCCTTGGCATTGTTGTGCATCCTTGTTGCCAATCCACAAAAGCACCTCCTGAGTAATTCGCGTCACAGTACAGATACTTCGCTGACCAGAGAATTCCACTTTTCCACTGATGTTCCGCTCTCTCGGCGTCGGGCTAGCATGTAGCTATTCAGATACTTTGCCACCGAGGGATACATGTTCGCCGTACATGCCTCCACGACGATAGGCTCCGAAGCTCATATGATTCGCCAAACTCGGGTACGGTCCTGCGCGATACATCGTCTTCATGCTTCGAATAATAAGCACCCTACCTGAGCTTGGCCTGCAATCATTGTCCTTCAGCAGCTTGTCTGCTAATGCTTCAACCATAAGCTGCATGGCTTCTCGCTCGTCCCTCAAAGCGGCGTTCATTGCTTCGTCTTCCTGCTGTTCACATGTTATGTCGCCCGTCTTGTCTAGTGGCGCGTCTTCATTCTCTCCATCGGGCAACGACTCATCTCTGCTGCTTGATGACGAGTCACTACTGCTACTGCTACTTGATGATACAGTTTGTCGTACTTCTCTTGTTCTCGCTTTGATTGTACCTTTGGCCGTTCTTCGCTCTCATCATCATCATCACCATCAATGTCACCAGCTTCTCACCTCTACAAGCCCCCTTCTGCCTTTGGGACCGTCTGTCAAAGACTCAGGCAGTACCGGAATCCCATTCAATAGGCAGCGGGACAACACTTCCTCTTCCCCTGCGGGTCGCAGCGCAGGGTTCCTCTTCCCCGCGGGTCGCACCGCATGCATTGGGCACAACACAGGAGCCTCTGCGTTCACTACCCACGCAGCCTTTGCGCTCTCTTGACCAATCACTCGGGTCCATGGTCGCCTCGAATCTTTTCTTATCTTTGGTGATCCCCAACATGGACTGGGCATACAAAGACATAAGGAGAGCCGCTGTTGATTCACCCCCAAGGATGTGAGCATCAAGCAATCCCGAAACGAAATGACCTTCTCCAATATCGTCCTTGGTTTTGATGCTGAAGGGGAATCGCCGATCTCCCAACGTTTTGGACGATCCCACCAAATCTCCCAAATTCTTCCCTTCCGAAGTTTGCCACGGACAATCGAACCCAAGTCCCTTCATCTTCTCAAGTGCGTTTTCCATCCACTTAGATCAGCATACGCAGCTGTTTGCACCCTCATCCAAGACTCCGAAGACATCGGGGTGTTCGTAAATGTCAATCTCTGGCAAAACTAGTGGGATGCACTCGGGGTCTTCGTTCTTCATCGCTAGCATGGCAGGAGCTAGCTGCAACCGAACTAGGTAACTAGGTTTGACCTCTTGTCCCATCGTCCTCTGGTCGACCCTGCCGCTGCGGAAGCTTCCTCTGGTGCGGATCGGCTTAGAGATAACCCATGCTCAACTACAGCGGCCTCGATTCGATCTTGCAGGATGGCGTGCAAGTCTCGGGCTGTTATCGTGCCGAGTCGCACCCTCTGAAATCATGTGTTCCTCAACCTGGTTCGGAACTCGTCGACCATGGGAACGACTTCTTCCGGGACGAACAAGACTTCGCTACTCACGGACTTGTGCCAAGGAGATGGATGACGACGCTTCCACGCTCTTCCGGATCTCTTGCCTCAGCTTTGCCTCTTCCCTAGGCATCTCGTCTATCACATGACCACAATCTTTGCAGTAAACCTTCGACACCGCCTTATTGGATCGCAGCTTGCACAGTGTTCCGATGTTGACAATGCGCCATGTCCTTTGTCTCTCTCTCTCTCTCTCTCTTTCTTTGTTTTCGTGACTTTGCCACGGTCTCTGCCAGTCAGGACACTGTAGCACGCATTCGTCGTGCCGAGCCTCGAGAAGTCCGAACACTGATTGCGTGACACAGGCAACGGTGGGTGTGGTGGCTTCTTCTTGGCTTTGCTATGCACTGACTTGGCTGGCACTTCAATGGACGACTGGGCCGATGATGGTGTTGCCATTCGGTCGAGAGGAACCTCTCGCCTTTGCACTTCCATGCTTTCTTGATCAATGAGGCGTCCGTATTATGGTGCCGGCGTGTGGGCGTTCCCCTGCACTGTGGCACCAGGGTACAAAAGCTCTTATCCGAAAAACGGCTGGTAACCTGTTTTTTCCCCTTCACTCGGATAGCCTCTCCCTCGGTCAGCTTCTCGAGCTAGAGCTTTGCCCCCTCTCGTTGGCTGCTCGTCTGCGGGCCACAGGTTCCTGTACTTGTCATTCTCACTCTCTCTCACTCACTCGCTCACTGTCCGTGTCGCTACTACCCTGAGCAAGCCTTACATAATCTCAGTACTTGTTTTGTATGATTTATGGCCATCTTGTGAGTGGCAAAAGCTTTTGTCTGGCAAAGCGATTGCATGGCCCCCAGTCGATTTCCCAGCACCCCAGGGCCATCATAACATAGCTAGAAACCTCCCAAAATCTTGAGCAAGCAGCCAGCCAAGCTCCAAGAACAGCTCAAGCAGCTCGGGCCTCAGCGATGTTCCGAATAAACGAGTGGCAAGTCCAGCATGATCGTCATGTGCCTTTCCCCGGTGATGAGAAGATGGGCTTCACGTCGAGCAGCGGGCACACCTTCAACGGCAGATTGTGCCACAGCTGTCTCACTAAGAGCTCGGAATGCTGGAAAGGGCACCAATCGAGAGGCCGATTTGCTCAATGAACCTAGGGCACGTTACCGTGGCGATCGGTCAATTGCTAACTTGCTGGCCAAACTCAGAAAGTACTGAACCTGAGTGTTCAGCTTCCGATCGCCGTCGCCGCAATGCATGGACCTCTGCTAGAGGTCTCCGAAGAACTTCTTCGAGCAAGCCTGACTCGAGTAGTTTGAGCAGGAAGCCTGTCAAACGAAAACACGACGTGGTCATCAGACAAGCATCGGCCTGCCAAGAATTAAGTCAGTAATGCCGAGAATGCCAACTCGCTTGCGGACAAGCATCGGATGGAGGTGAAGTAATCCAGAACGAGAGATCGCAGCGAAGCGTACCTGGATAGAAGCGAGAATTGCACGCACAGCTCTGAAGCTACCAGAAATGGTAAGGTCGAAGCTCGGGTGCAACCAAAAGCAAGCTCTCAGATGCCTGATTCGGGCGAAAGCCTTGAAGCCTCCAACGCACCATGAAAGCTACATGTTGCAAGTTCATGCGAGCCAGCACCTTCTCAAAACCTCCAGGATCTAGTCCGAACCTGCAGCAGGACGTACCCGTTTGTCATGCAAGCTCTTATGTCGCAAGTCTTGGGAACTCACATCGCAGTCGGGCCCTCAGCCTCCACATGAACAAGCTCAAGCCGAATCTGAAATACCTGTACAACTCTAGCACGGTAAGGAGCCCATGCCCAGGCCCGGCCTTCCCCGAATAGTGCAGCGTCACCTGGCTGCTTCAAACTCCCACACACCTTCTTCGCATGCAGACCGCCTGTGATGCATCCTGATCGCTGACGCCCTGGAAATTCGATGCGTGTCGGAGCAAGGCGTCCATCACCTGGAAAGCGCCAATACTCTGCCACCCGGATGCACGAGCTGAAGATCTCACTGGGGCAGGAACAGCTGCAAGGCCACCAGCCTTTGCTTGCCACCACAACGGTGCAAGTCTTATCACTGGAAATTCATGCAACAGCATTGCACTGAGCGAGATGAGCTCCGTTCGACGCAAACGCGGGCACCTGACATGACGCGGCAAACTACGCGGAAACGTCGGACTATCGGACTCAGACTCTGCCAGGGGGGCGGACCATCCGTCTCTCGGTTCTCCTGCAGGCTGAAGGCCGCCGCTGCGAAATGCCGTGCCTCGGCTCTGAGGAACGGAGGCACGTTCCCGATTCCAGTCTGCTCATGCATCCGTCACGGAAGATGCCTCGAAGCTGGAAGCTGCTAGAAGTGGCTACTTGTAGAACGGCTAGAAGTCTGATGAACGACTGTGAACTCGATTTCCACTGTCGGGCTGCTCTTTGGCTGTGCCAGGGAGTGAAACAAGAGTTCATCCTTCTTCTGAGCTCGAGCTGTAGCCCAGTCCAAGACCCGGTCCCTCACTCGTGACAGCTGTCTCCGAACTGGTTGCCGGAACGTCTGCAGGACCTTCGCTGGTGGCTGCGGGCATCGGCTTGGCCTTCTTGACGGCAACGAAGCCCGGAAGCTTCTTCTCCTTGCCCTTATCCTTGTTGTCGCTTTTGTCCTTGTTGGCCTGTCCGGGCTGGCAGTTTTTGCTGTGCGGCCAAGTGAAACATCAGAACAAAATGGAGAAAGTATGCCCATGAGAGAAAGATGGCCTGGAGGCGCAGCGTGAGAGATGCGCTTTGCGCGCTCTGAGCCTCCTGAAGCAGAGCTGCCACTTCGTCTTCGTTTTGCTGCCTTCGCTTCAATGAAGTCTGGCGCTCTGCTTCTAGGTCTTCTTGGCTCGCAGTCGCCGATGCGAAAGCCCGTGCGTTTGCGGCACTGTAGCCTGAACCACGACAGTGGAAGTGGGAGGTGGACCGTGCAAAGCATCCCATGATTTTCGTGTTGATGAGCTTCAGCGATGATTTGTTGCCCTCAAAATCAGGACTACGCGTCGTGCAGTCGTTCGTGTGACTTTGCTTTTCTTCGCGCTAGGTTCGTTGCCCTTCGCGTTTCGCCACACACGGCAGTGGTAGTAGCAGTATAGGTGCCAGTGCCAACACGTGGTGATGCTGGTAGTAGCAGCAGCAACAACAGCAGCAGTGGTGGTGGTGGTGGTGGAAGTAGTAGTAGTAGTAGTAGTAGTAGTAGTAGTAGTAGTAGTAGTAGTAGTCGTAGTAGTAGTAGTGGTAGTGGTAGTGGTAGTGGTAGCGGTAGTGGTAGTAGTAGTAGTAGTAGTAGTAGTAGTAGTAGTAGTAGTAGTAGTAGTGTAGTAGCAGTAGCAGCAGTAGTATAGTAGTAGTACTAGTACTAGTACTATACTAGTACTAGTACTAGTACTATAACTACTACTACTACTACTACTGCTGCTGCTGCTCTACTACTACTACTACTACTACTACTACTACTACTACTTACTACCACTACCACTACTACTACTGCTACTACTACTACTACTACTACCACTACTACCACTACCACTACCACTACCACTACCACTACTACTACTACTACTACTACTACTACTACTACTACTACTACTACTACTACTACTACTACTACTACCACTACTACTACTACTACTACTACTACTACTTTTTTGGCTCCCACTTGTCGGACTCTTGCGATCCCGCACGGCAGGCAACACGTCTCTCACGATTACACAGGACTCCAAAACTCCCCGTACAAATGCACAACGACAAGATGTAACCTTTGCAGCAAGCTTGCCAACAAAATGTACAGGGGGTTCTGCAATGCTGTGCTTGTGGGCTAAAGGAACAGCTGCTTCAGCCCGAGTTCAAGGCAGTACTTCAAGGGGACATACTCTCCGCACAGTTCTAGTGCAAAAACAAGGTGCCACTCAGCAGTCCAGACATTTATAGCCAGTCCCACTCAGGCAAGGGTCACAATACAACTAGTTCAACACAGCTAATGCAACTCCTACAGCCACAATGCAAGAAGACCTGGCCCGGCTTTGGTTTCAGGGTGACGGCTGCTGTTGAACACACAAACAAACACGTACACAAATAACGCATGCGCTGCTATTAAAAGTCGGGTCCAGCTCTACCGCATTGCACTGTTCAGCACTGCAAGTGGGTGCCGACTGTCGGTTACTTTGGCAAGGTCTCCACTCTACTGCGTGTCGCCACTCAGGGTGTCAGACTCGCCTGTCCATCACTTTCCGTCGCACGGGTACTTCTGTCGGGAGGCAGCTTGGCCAGCACAATGGCGGGCGTAGTCAGGGACCAGGGACCAGGCTCTCTCTCTCCCAGAAGCCATTATCGTCGACCATGTCCGGCCGTTGTCACAGTGCTCTAGCCAGCCACGTGCCGTGGGAGGGGCGAGCGCGCAGGTGCCAGTAGTCCATCCAACCAAGAGGACTGTCCGCAACGGTGTCGACCAAAACTCAAGCAGTGGCTACAACCTGGGGATGCCAACATGAGCCAAGTTGCGCGGGCCAAGTTGCGTGGAGTCACACACAGCAGACTTCAGCAAGGTTCTGTCCCTTGCTTCGGCACCCGTACCAGTGGTGGTAGTCAGCATCAAGTCCACTGGCGGCGGCATGGTGTGTCAGACCAGATCATGTCAGGTACGATTGCAGCGCCGGCAGATCCACATATAGCAACAACAGTGTGTTGCATTCCGTCCCAGAGTCCCAGGAATCTGTATCCACGACAGAATCGGTCTTCAGTCTCAGCATGGGCACTCCAGTGTACTGTGCCGACAGCGCGTTTTGGACCCCAGAGTGAGGTGGCTCACCAGTTCGCGGGCCATGGCAGCACAAACGCAGGTTCGTGGTTTGATTAGGGGGGTCGAAGCTCGGGAAGTAGATGAACATCGGGGTCTAGGATCCCAGAGGCCGCGACTGGACGACAGAAGGACAGGAAATCTCAGAGGAGGTGAGACAAAGGAAGGAAGGAACAGTGCAGGGCAAGGAGGGCAGTACACAGGGAGAAGGCAGGTCGCAAGGAAAGGCAGTGCTTTTTTTTTTTTTTTACTAGCTTGCAACCAAGGCGCTTTCGGACCTGGGGAGGTTTTTTGTTTTGGAGGGGGTCGTCGCATATTGCACGCGAGTGACCTGCTGCTTCTAGTTAGCGACTTTCGGAAGGCTGCGTGTCTTCGACTACAACAACATCGTGCAAATCGACGATATGTTTATGTTGTACAAAGAACTGGTGAATGCTGAGTTGTTTCAGCCTAGGTAGGGATCCATGAAGAGCCACATGAAGTTGCAGGGGTGAGGGGAGGGGAAATCCCACATTCCGAAGGTCCTCCTGAAGTCCTGAAGTCAACACCGAGGCCTGAAGGACTGAAAAAGCAACAAGGATGAGCCGTTCTTGGTATCGGGTGGGATCCTGAAGGTGTCCTGCGTGAAGCGTCTTCCTTGCATTGAAAATATAGGGCTTGCGGAGGGGGACTACACGACCCGGCAGTGATTCACCTTGGTGATGTTTCCTAACTTGGCCCATGGGGTCGTGCACCCAGAGGCCATCCTGTCGCCAGTCCGGGGTATCAAGTGCGATTACAAGGGAAGGGATCGGGGCATTGCGGGTGTCACGATGAACTTTGTCAACACAACCACGGCGTACAACATACGTGGTGTAGTTATGGAGCGGGGCAATCCACTTAAGGTGGGAGTTAACTACAAGATTGAACAGGGGCATATCAAACGAGTGGGTCAGAAGTGAGTCATGACATCGAGGGCTGGCCCCACCTACAACGTAAGAACCTCGGCCGTTCTCTGCACGTCTTTTGAAGCTGGCGGGGATCATGTTGAACATCCTGATTATATCAAGTTGGCACGGGGGTCGATCTAGCTGTAAGATTCGCAAACAGGCTTCTTCTACCGGTCGGATCCTATGGTCACTGTGGTCTGGGTGCAGGGACGGGTAGGGCAAGGACAACTTACAGCGGGTGTCGGAGCCAGGAACCAAAGGGCTTGAAGGTGCTTCAGTCTCTACTGTTGGCAGTGTTGGTGTGCTAATGTCCAGGGTTTCTCCCGGTGCAGGTTGCAGGCAGGTAAACAGCATGGACTGCGGCATCTGAACTGAACTAAGCCTCCCTTACCTGTGATCCGAATGCATCTCGCGAACAAGGCTACGACCTGTAGTGCAGCACATGCCTGCGTATGGTGGCATACACTCGCTCACTCGGTCAGGCCTTTTTTGACGTGCTCGAGGAGCTGGCAAGGTGCAGCAGTGCAGAGTGGGCAAGGAAGGGTCAGGCAGTGCAAGGCAAGTACAAAGGAAAGTAAGGCAGTGCAAAGGCAGTGACAGGCAGCAGCAGTGCGGCAGTGACAGGAAAGGCTCCTAGGGGCATCGATAAGTCACAACGAGCTATCACACTTTCAGAAAGACAGCACGCCCCGGAGTCTGCCTATCACATGTTGCAGTCTGCTGAAAAAAGCACTGCGATTTCAGGCCAGGGCTCCACCTTGGCTTGTGAGCTAGTGGGAACTTTACATGTGCCCCTGGTGTTGCTGAAGAGCATTAGCCAGGTTCTCCATGCTTGTCACGATCACCGGTGAGGGCCTGGTACTCGGTGCTGGCCCGTTCCACTCCGTGTAGACTGTGGGCGTGTGCGATGGAGCCGGCGGTGGTCCTCTCTGCATCCAGCCTTGTTGTGGAAGAGGAGGTGCAGCTTGCATCGGTGGAGGCTGCTGCGGTTGGCGTCCTTCATGAACTGGCCTTGGCGGGAGTGCACTCAGGACACGTTCCACTCCTCCTTGGACTTCGTTCAGCAGCCTTAGTCTCTGTCCCATCGTAGCGCTGTGGGACTCCAAGGCCGACGACACATCTCCCAACTGGTCAATCATGCCCGTGCACATTGACTCAATCTTCTGTGCTCGATCTGCCAGGGCTTCTTCCTGGCTTGCGACCCAGCGTAGGAGCTTCTCGGACTCGTCGATCACATTCTTGAGCTCTGTCTCCCATGGGCTGGGTGCACCTTTGGCGATCACGTTGAGGGTCTTCTCGCTGAAGTCCGAGGCCTGCGTGCACTTCTTCTCCAAGTTGCGTATCAACGTGATGGCATTCTTGATGTCTCCTTGTACTGCTGCCTTATGTTTCTCGGCATCAGCTTTGGTTTCCTCGAGCTTGTCCTTGATGCGGACGATCAACGCATGATCATCGCGCATGTACCCGCTGTTCTGGTCCACTTTGGCCAAAAGAGACGCAAGTTGGTCTCGCACTCCATCAAACTGTTCCTTGAAGGGCGCGATGTCCACTGTGACTTTGCGAGTCTTCAGGGTCGTGGCTGCTGTGCTAAGCTCCTGAATCGTTTCATGGAGTGTCTGCATACGTGCTTCGATCGCCGCCTTGACATCCTTCAGGAACTTTGTCGTCTCCTCGGGAGTCAGCTGCCGGAGTGACCCCATGAGGGAGCCAAGTTCCTTAAGCAGTGCAGAGATCTCGTTGCCGGAGACGTTGCCGAGGTCGACCATGCCCTGCTGGATCCGGTCAAGTGCCTTGTCGTGGCTGGTGACAGCCCCCGCAACTGTAGTCAGGGTTTCCTGAAGTGATTGCAGACAATTGGGAACCGTATCATCCATGTTCTGAAGCAAAGCTCTCATGTCTGACAGGATCGTACTTCCGCCATCGGGTGTGTGTCCCACGGCGGCCAACTGTCTTTGCATCTCCTGAGCAATGACCTGATGAAGTGACCAGCGTGTGTAGTACAGGAATAGCAGGACAAAGGACATCACTCCGAAAGCGCCGGCTGCCATGTGCCACGGCGACACCAGGGAGGTGAGGCTGACAACCGGGACTGCTTGGGCGCGGTCCAGAAAGTCCGTGAGAGGGTCCATCTCTGTCGCAGGGAGAGGGACGAACCTGAAGGCTGGGGACA